CTGAGAGAGAGCAGCGCAGTCATGCCTCCTACATAAATATCAACTACGCAAGCTGAATCACGTTGATTCAACTTGTGCATGCCTTTTGCGCACGCGTGGTGCATGTAGTTGTGCCGCTAGTCTTATAGACTCACGCCCGTTACAACTACTACTCTAAGCTAGACGACTCGCCCGCGTACTACGCTGCTATAATACCCCATCTAATGTACAAATACTACTGCGATAAGGCGTAGGCTAAGAAGCCTAACTAGCTTAAGGCTAGTAACGCTAGCTTTTAGGCGCTCTAGGCGCAGTACAGCACCTTACCGCGCGCGGTAAGGCCGCTAGCAGTAATCGCAAGTGATATAGATAACGCGATTAATAGTATACTTAATCGTAGTACTGCTAGCAGCCTTACTACTAACAAGGACAAGTTTAAGACGTAGAAGCGTAGCGAGCTAGTAGCTAAAAGAGGTATAGAACTGTCAGATCAGATAAGATATTGCACAAAAGTGATGGATGTTTATGATTTATTTGTTCTTGTCTCTGTTCTAAGGTGCGCGCTGAGAGTTTTGTTCTGCTAAGACGCTAACCCGTTATTAGCTAGCGGTGTCGGCACTTTCGGCTCGACACGCCTGCTATCTGACAAGAACACGCAGAGAACCCTATTAAATACTAGGTGAGCATGTGCGATTGCTACCCTAGCCTTAGTAAGCTTGCGCTTAACGTACTCTCTATTCTAGCGTCAAGCTGTGAGTGTGAGCGCCTGTTTAGTGAGCTGGGCGACCTCTTAGAGCCGCGACGACGACGTCTAGGACCTCAACTTCTAGCGGCAATACAGTGCATACGAAAGTGGCAAAGAGCTGGCCTCGGAGGCAGCAGACGACGACAATATGGAGCTTTTGTGCGGGCTGGCGACCTAGGACGACGAAACTCAACACTAAGGCTAGCGCTAGTACAGGCTACCAAGCCTATTAATTAAGCCTTAATTAAGCTCACGATCTTAGCTTGTTAGCCCTAACAATCCAAGCTCATGCCCTTAAAAGACGAGCAATCCAAGCTAAAACCTCAGCTTGGATTGGCTTGATTGTTGACAACTATGGCCCTGATGCTAGAGAATCGCGCGATCTCCCGAAACTGCTAATGGCTAGCGTCTGTATCAGGTACGGGATAGTATCAGCGTGTTCTGTACAGAGATGTCAACAAGCAAGCTTGACTTGCTTGTTGACATCTCTGGTTCTGTAGGTGTGGGAACTTTGCCGCGGTTTGTGTGTTGGTTGATAAGTTGCGCGTAAGGGCAGGCAGTATCGTATAGCGCTAAGCTCTTTTCTGTAGGTCACCATTCACCCCACTACCTTGAATATTACCGGCCTTCCCATCTGCTTAGTGTTCAAAATATTTTGGGAATACTCGTCGGTAGTTCAAGGCTGCCTTTTTTTCTCCTTACTGCCACTTAGTAAGTCGGATTTTCGTCCGTATTGCCACCGCGAAAACGCTGAGAGAGCTCCATTCGTGATCTGGGCTTCATATATTCGGCCAGCCTCAAGTCCCCCCATACTGCGTACAACGTCGTACTTATATTCCAGGTTTTACAATGTACATTCAAAACTCCATAGATGATTCAGTGAGATCTCTACAAAATCCCCGTCGGACGGGAATGAGGGATGAGGATCAGAGTCTCAGCAGCCGATAATGAAAGCCCAGCTAACTTTTTCTTTTGTATCGACATCCCGCCAGTCTATCAGCTGCTCTATACTGTGCAGGTCCTCCTCGAAGACAGATAAGGGCAAATATGATTTGTCCATTGTGATAGGTCTCACGCTATCTGTAGAGTATCATATCGTGAATGTAAATTGAGTAGAACTGAATAGGTGGCAGATAGCTAGCATTTGCAGCCTGGCAAGAAGGCTCGGGGGATCTTGGACGGTCGAGTGTGAACTGATGCTCATTTCAAAGTTTTGCCTCTCCGAGACTTGAAAAGAACGTGTTGTCGATGACTTCGTCTCAACGATGATATATCGAACCTAGCGACCGTGGGAGTGACGTATGCGAGATACCCTCTCTGCGCTGCTTCGCTGAAAGAGAAGTTGAAAGCGCTTCCCGCGGATAGGTATGGAAGGAAGGGAATTCAATGATGGCAATGCGTGGTAGGTTTGCAATCTTCTTTCTTCTTGGCCTGGCTCTACGGGGACCGTGTTGGTTGCCTAAAGAATTGTGACGTCATTACACTTGTGCAATACATCTCTCACTTCGTATCATTTGGCATTTTGACTGGCCGCCAGCTATATTGTAGGGCGCATCACTCTGTTGTCCTATTTCTAGCAATTTGCATTCAAAGTTTTACGTTTTGCATATTACTGGAGCTTCCTATAGTATGACTAGCTCAATTGGGTTATGAACCACGCCATTCACCGTGTATGAGGTAAAAATAGACTTCCCAGACACCCAACGCCAAAGTTAAACATGCTAGGAGTTTGAAAGTTAAGAGAGACTGCGTTGGAAATGCCCAACTTGATGGAACAGCGCATAAGCATTACAACAGTACCAATCTGCCTTCTCATGGCGAACCTTGTCTTCTCGCATGACACCGGATAGTATCCGGTAGAATCCGGACCCCAGGACCAGGAACAAGGGGCCTAAAAAGAGAGCTGACATGAGGCCGATTGTTTGGTGATCGGCCTTTCCACTTGCGCATAACGGCAACGGTGAGTGTTAAGCTTCGGACGCTGACGACGCTGAACAGGAAGGTGGGCATTTCTACCGGTCAAGGTAGTTCAGAAAGGCAGGCAGTACATCGGCTCCAGCGTTCATGATTGCGCCTGCGCTCGCACATCAACACTCATCGCATCTAACCCTTTTCTTTTCTATTGACGTTGGGATGATACAAGTTGAGCGACAAAGACACAAAATTTGGGGCACGCACCCCCACGTGTGCGGGATGGTTGACTAAGCGATGAATACCAACCACGCTAACGACCCATCGGCCTTCCCGCCTTCTCGTCCGATTACCTCATCATCGTCATCATCATCACATACCTAGGTGGGTATCCTCGAACTCACATTGGAACTGCGACAACATGAGCGACTATGAGTAGTGAAGGAGATTGCATCTCGTGTTGTATTATGCTGTGTCGCACAGTCAGAAACAGTTGGCCATGTGTAAATTGTAAATGTCCACGATTCGCAACCCTACCAAATGCACTTCATCAAGGCCCACTACGCCTCACAGGCGCACCGATACCTCAACAACACGCATTTGGTTCTCTTCTCCGCGGCCATCGATATGCACCGATATTTCGGATCCGTGACTCTGAGCGAGTAACTCCGCAAGCCAATCGTTAACGGTGTTTGCATTTAGCCTGCAGAGAGGCAATAGAGTCCCACCCTCCGGTCCGGTAACCTACTCGACCCTCAGCGTGCATGATGGATGCGGCGTGGCGGCTAGATACTAACAGTCTTCTCTTAGTGCACCCAGCTGGCCGGTTCTCTTCCGACTCCACTGTGAATGTTGGAGAAGCAAGCTTCGATTATCGATCGGCCTACTTGAGATGAGAGCAAGAATCTAATGACCGGTACCCTACTTGCGACTACTCAGTTGTTAAGTTGTCTATACACCTTCTCTTTCTCTGATGACTGGTGTAGCAATTCGATTCGCAATGCGGAATGAGCTGCGAGCTTACCTTCGACCTGGACCAACCCGAGAACCGAGCACATGCATCGTGAGAAAGCCTAGGCCATGTCAACGGCACGGGACGGCTACCCTGCAGGATCTTCCATAAAAAATGGTGAACCCGATCCGTAGGCTGTCGGAGGCGAACTCCGGCACAATGTTCTCAACGACTCTCAGGCGATCTAGCGTCGGCGCAAGTGCTTGCCCAGCTGAAAACCTAGTCTAATCCCATTACCTGAACACCTGTCATACCAAATGCGTACTAGTCTCAATAGCAAGGCTGCAAGGATCACAGTCCGCAACAATCAATTAAGTGGGTCCTAGAAGGTTCAGATTGGATTGATTGATTACCGCTTTAAGCCTAGTAGTTACCTATAGGAGTTTAAGCCCTACCTAGATAGGTAAGTGGGTCTAGGAGAGTGACCGGATTGAATTGATTGTTGCGGAGTCTAGCAAGGATCGTGGGGACGTCACGGCGACGCAGGTTCATCCTGGGCGGCTGACGCCGAAAGACAAAGGCGACTATCTTTATGAGTTCATCGGCATCTGGTAAGAGCCCATATGGAATTGCGCGTAAATATGCCCTCTCTTGAGCGGAGCCGACAAGATAATCGAGGGTCCTGCTGGTCATGTCTTCTTGCCTTTCCGACAACCACAAAGACAATACTCACTTACCGGCCACGTACACATACCTGTCAGCATGATGAGCTGTTCTGGTAAACGCCACACTTCCCAGCGGCCACCCGAGGTGCCCGATGTCATGCGTTCTGGCGCTCTAGGCCGCGATTTCAACTAGCCTCATCAGCAGACATTACATGACACACTAATCATCTCTGATCTTACTTGCACGATCTACCAACTATGATCTACAGTGGAAGGGCAGACTACAAGCACCAATAGGTGGGACCATGTACTCTTCGGTCTCCGATCCAAAGCATAATCCTTACACCAACTCAGTGAGGCCATTCACGAGAACATTGATCTGATCGCCCAGATGTTGGTGCATGTATCATATGCAGGCCGATATGCCAAACGCAAAAGAAAGGAGGAAGAAAGCCCACGGTTCGAACTTTCGACCAGTCATCTTCCAGGCTCTTCAAATGTGAGCTTACCAACATCGGTGCCGTCCCATAGTCGACAAGGGCCACCGCCTAGTATCTATCCGCACCTAGCCTATTATTGAACGACTCGGGTGTTAGCAGGCCCGTGTGCGATGGGGAGAGTCCTGTCAGGAGTAAGTTTTGGCTAATTTTGGGTCACGGCGGGAGGAGACGGGCCGAACGATGATATCGTGAGGACTAACAAGAAAAAAGGAATATAAAGTCTGAACGACTTCCACCAGTATTCAAGCATCCTCAACGCACATCACTACCTCAGGATCATCACCTTTCTTCCCAACATCATTAGCCTCCCTAAACAAAAACCGCTACAATGCAGTTCTCGACTCTCTTTACCTGCTTGGTTGCTGCCGTCAGCATCAACGCCGCTCCTACCTCCATCAGCAAGCGTCGCTCCGACATTCCCCTCTTGTTCTACTCTGGCGACAAGTGCAACACTGCCATTTCCAAGGGCGTCACAACTATATACCTCCCCACGGACGGCAAGTGCTTCGGCACCTCCCCCATCTTCAGCGGAAACACAGATTCTGCCATCATTGACAAGTCGGTCGTAAGCTCGCTACCTACGGGTTGCTCCAGTAAGTTCAAAAATCTTATGCGCAGCGATGGGGATGTCTTGTGGTACTAACGACGGGGCTAATAGTCGTTCTGTACACCGACAACCTTTGCACAAGCACGAAGACGATTACCATCACTTCTACCACCAAGTGCAACACCTTTGGCGCTGGTGTGCCTATCTTTGGTGCCAAGACGGTGGGCAACTGCACTTAAACGGTCACGGGCTTGCATGAGAGGTTGGAATGATGGAAGTGTCCGCTCGAAAGCCAACTCTAAAGCGAAGACGACGTCCGAGCCCAACATTCCGACGATGATGACATGCCAAAAACTCCAACGATGACGAGATGCCGAAAAAAAGTGTAATGATCATGACTTGCGTGGGCTCCCCACAAAAAAGATCGCCCACGTACTGAATAAAAATCTAATTATAATACAATAACGTCTCTTGTATCAACCATCAATGACCAAAACCGTTCATGTGCATGCAAGTCTCCACTTAATCCATCTTCCGCGTACTCCTCTTCACCAGCGTCTCATCCGACCCACTCACACTCGCACTCCCATCCCTCGTACTAACCACATGAAACGAAAAGTCCATCTCACCCACCAGCCCTTTAACCGCTTTCAACAACTTCTCCACATCCATATGTATACACCTCGTACTAATACTCATAACCGCAAACGCCGCATACCCCGGCTCAGAAACATGTCTCAAGCTCATAATCTCTGGGTCGATACTCGCTAGTTTCTGGCTTAGTTGGGTACCGGGGGGCGTATGTAGGTAGGGCGGGAGGGGCTGTGCGTTTGAGATGGAGGAGGAGAGCATGGCAAGTAAGGAGGTTAGCTCGTGGGAAGTTACTTTTGCGTCGAGGATCACGCGGCGGAAGTCTGAGAACCATTGCGCTGAGGACTGGGGGTCTTGGTTGTTGTTTGGGGAGTAGAGGGGGGTTGGGGCCGTGTCTGCAGTTGTGGAGGTGGGGGTTTGGGCTTGGCGCTCGAGGGAGGATTGAGTAAAGGCTTGGGAAGAGTAGCCGAGGAGGGCGGTGTAGTTTACGATGCTAGAAGGGAGTGATGTGTTAGTCTGATTCGGCGGCGATGGAGAGATGAAAGCTTACTTTTCAACCAAACCGATGATTTTCTCGTACTCTTTTCTGGGGAACTTGCCGCCAAAGGGGAATTCCCACTTTACGAAACCGGCGTGCATCTTCAAGCCTTGGAGCGCGAGCATTTGCTTGGCAAACACCTTGTTGCGCGCCTTGATGAGCTTGTAGCCGGGGCATTCCTTGTTGCTTTCTTCCTCGCCGGCGAGTTCGCCGCGGATTCGTCCCATGACCTGCTCGTGCATGATGGAGTACAAGTTCGCTGATAGATACAACGAGCCGCCCAGTTTCTGGCGGAGAGCAGAGTGTTCCGTGATGGGGTATGGGAAAATTTGCCAGAAGAAAGCTACTGCCAGACCGCCAACAACGGTAGCCAAACGGTAAGGTCCGAGTTCGTAGATGGGATATGCAGGCTGACCGGTCACCGTGGAGGCCTGTACGCCAATCTTGCGGACTTGTAGTTCATAACCGACAATCATGGTGGCTGTGACAACGCTGATGATACCAACAATAACCAGGTCTATACGCTTGATAACAATGTAGAAGCCTATCGCTGCAAAAATCCAGAGGAAGACTAGGATACCAGCGGTTTTCTGAGCGGGAATATACCATATACACCATGCGAATAACATTGCGACGAATGTTCCGACGATCCGTAGTACGAACTGGAAGATTGCTTGACCGGAGGTGGGGGTCATAGAAATGGCGACCATAATGAGTGCCCAGACCAAGCGCTGCTCGATGAAGAAGGCCTGCGTTGGGCGAAGAAAGGCGACGACTGCTATACTCATTGTGGCGCAAGCGGCGCGGAAACCAAAGGCTGATTCAGGACTTGCAAGGAACTTGGAGATGCCTCGTACGCCATTACCAAATTTCTCCCATGCATTGGCTGGAGGCAGATGCTCTGGATCTTTCTTTGTGTGGTATGCTTCTCCCATGTAGACAGTCGTGTTCTGCCTGTCGGATCCCACGGCCATCGTTTCGTCTTCGAGATTGGCGTCCTGGCTCTGAAATATACTCTTTACCCATTTCTTGAAGCGCCTCCCACCGGGCCAGATGAGTTTGCTCTTCGCAGTAGCTTGGTCGCGTTCGTCAGCGAACTTGACAAATTCGAGCGTGGCACGACTGATTGAGTTTAGTAGGAACATAATGTATAGGACAAGGAATAACTGTCGCTGATCCCGCTGTCGTGTGGTGATACTGGGGAGTAGATTTTCCATCTCTTCTTCGAGTGTTGACGGGGTGCTGAAGTAGTCGTCACGAAGCTTGATACCTTTGGTGTCGACCCAGTGGCGGAGGGTTGGTTCTTTCTTACTGAAGAACAGATTGGCTTGCTTCTGTAAGTGCTCTGCAAAACCAGCATCTCCGGGTTTGACCTTATCACCCTTGGCTTCTGCGTCATCCTGGTTCTGGCCCTTTTTCTTCTTTGGTGGCGGGGCGAGCTGCAGTTTAAGCAAGATGTGGGCGAGTCCATCATCGAGGGCTTCGAATATGTTGTTGAACGGCTCATGAACGAATTGAAACATATCATTCCACTCTTTCACAGTCTTTTTACGCATTTGTTCGTCGTGTTCGTCCTCTTCTCCATCCCAGTGGTTCATTTCCGCTCCGCGCTCGAAAAGATCTACGATGGAGCCCAGACCCAAGACTGGCAGCATGATCGACCGGAGATGCTTGAAAATAGCTTCGAGATCATTGCATGACAGCTTACCATATGCGATCTCGCGCTTCGCAAATGGCAGGTCCGCAGTGAGTTTTCCGTGTAATCCTTGCAATGCACCCGCCATTGTCTTGATCGTCTGAACCTCAGGACTGACCTTTGCCTTCGCGCCTTTCTTATCTTCTGGTACATATTTCTGCCCAAACATATCGCTAGTTTCCAAGCTGTGGATATAAGTTTTGTGTGCACCAAGCATACCCCTCAACAATCCAATGTATCCTGCAGCCTCTTTCATGACGACTTTTCGGGAGGTAACGGGTAAGATGAACAAGCTCACACCCGTCGCGATCGCAAAACCGGTCAGGAACGCTTCCAGCAACCTTTGAACAAAGGCCTCGCATTGCGCTACTGTTTGAAACAGAAAGCCTGTGGTCGCCGCAACATTGACTAGAATTCCATAGATGATTGTTGGGAACGCCAGTTGTGGGAATTTGGCCTTCATGACATTGATGATATAGATCTGGAAGAAGAGCCAAACTGCGAGTACAACGGATTGGGAAGAGTTATATCGTTGTAGTGGTGCGCCCGGGACCGTTGTGTGTTGCCGCGCCTTGACGCCAGACCAGACCATGAGCATCGCAAGGGCTGAGCCGACGCATGTCGCTAGTATATTCAAGGTCATAGTTTGAACGAACTTGGCTCTAGGCATAATACAGAACCCGAGGATACTCATGATGGCGATTAAGTAACCGAGAGTAGTGTAGTGTTCCGCGACATCGTCTGCTTGATACATAGCCAACGCAATGGTTGGAGGCAAAGCCGCTTTGCCCATCATCATCACCGTTCCCACATCCAATCCCAGCTTCCCCCATGCTGCCTTCAGCTTCGACGGGTTCTTCTTTTTCTTTTCTCCATCTTCTGCGCCCGTCAATGTCGCGTCCTGGTGGTAGCCGCTCGATTGCGCATCCTCGTCACTCGTTTTTTCGTGTTTTGTCTCTGATTCTCTTGTCGCCATTCCAGGATCTGACTCTTCCCGGTCCACAGTATTTCGACCCGTTGCGGTAGATGCCATTGCGGTGTTGGAACCACAACAATTGTACACCGAATTACAGGTGGGTGAAAAGGAAGAAAAAACAGGACAAATGTCCTAGGCATTGACAATGTCAATACAGAATCCTATATTATCACCGGATCTTCCGCACACGCGCCGTAGCGCGCGCTCGGCCTGCTGCTAGACCAAAACACGTCATGGCGAGTGGCCTTAGGGGATCAGTTCGAATGCCAAGATGACGCTAGGGATCAGCGCGCATCTTTGTACGAACCAAATCGGGCCGAGCGCCTCCGATCGTCCGCTTACTGTCTCGACATCAGCAAGCCACAAAGAACAAGAGGAATCGCCCAGGTGTCCATAAAATACTTGACACAATAGTGTACAGAGGCCATTTTAGTCACCAGACACGCTGATTAGGTGCTTACCCACACTGTCGAGTATTTTAAGACACCCCGGAGGATTAATCAAATTGATCAACGGATGGAGATTGTTTTCATAATACGGAAACGCTTAAGCAGCTATATGGACAAGAATCTTGCTATAGGAAGGGCATTACTGCCAAGGTGCGACAATTATACGACAATGCGCTCGAAGCTGTACTTCGGTACCCTCTTACTGATCAGCATACCCATTTCACGCTTGCTCCGCTGCTCCTTCTTTCCGCCTTTCCCGTTCTTCATCTTTTCTACTCCTTGTTCCGCCTTCGCACCCAGAGGCAACATAGGCAAGTCCTCCTCTCCGTTCAGCTTACCCGTAACACTAAACGGTTTGCCTTGCAGTTCCAATTGCTTATTAGAAGGCTTCTTTGGAGCTGGTACCGTAGATGCGTAGCGTAAGAACTCAGAGAGCAGACCTCGTATGAAGTGAGCTTCGAAGAAGCCACTAAGTGCGATGGATGCGTCTCTGTTTAAGGATTTGAGCATGTCCTCGCCACTTTCAGAGGCGGAGAGTGTGCTAACAGAAGCGAGCCAGGCTCCTGCGCCAATTGCGTCGAGAGTACTCGAGAGCAGAGACGCAATAATAGAGACAGCGTGGTCGTCTGGATCCTCTCCTTCACTCTCGATACCAGAAGATTCAGGATCAACAAAGCCAAGTGGTGACGACCATCCACCGTTCTTCAGCTCAAGATGCAAAAGGCGGATGAGCGACTCAAGATCTCTTCGCGGCAACACTGAACGAAGCGTGCTACTGATCATAGGAGCTGAGAAGGTATGCAACCGGATGAGAGCAGGTCGCAATGTGTGGCTTCGAGTCAGAAGGCCGTGGTCGAGCACTGATAAGGCGTGGTCAATTTCGTGCGAGGCTGCTTCGAGCTCAGTGGCAAAGTCGAGATCCATCTCATCTTCCGACGGCGCGGTACCATTGGTTAGTAGCTTCATTTCCTCCTCTTCTCTTGGTACATCATCTATGCTCTGGATTAGGAGCTTGATTGCTTGGACGACTTCACCAATCGGAAGGAATTGGCTGTGGTTGAGCACTGCCGATAGGATGTGTAGATCTGAATCATAGTCGACGAGAGCCTTGACAATGTCTCCATCTACAATCTCCGATACGGACTGGATTTGACTGTGGCTTTCGTCAAGCAGAGCTCGGCGAATAGACTCTTTGGTGAGCTGACCAGTCTGTAGAAGCCATTGGAACACGTTCGGTGGAAAAAAGCCGACTTTCAAGTGTCCTTGAGACTCCTCCTGTTCGCTGGCGTCGGGCAGATAGAAGATCTTACTTAATGCGTACAATGCATACTGACGGTACAGTTGCCGCTGGTTTCCAGGGATGGTTGTGGGTATTTTCCACCGCGGTAGATCATCCTTGGCGGGCTCATCGTCAAGCTCGTTGACAACCATGGCGTCCTCGTCTGGAAGACTTGGTCCGCCCCCATTCGTCAAGGGACCGCCATTGATCTCGTTCTCGTGTTTTTGCGCCACATCAGCAGACTCAAGCTCGATGTTCAGTTCTGAAGCAAAGTGTTCCTCGAACTTTGCAATCTTTCCTTTTTCAGCATACTTGTTCAGTTTTCCCTTCCGCTCCTGCCATTTTTGGCCCTCAAAAACCTTGGCTTCAGAGGCAACGCCCTTTCCGAGAGCATCAATGAGAAGGGTGCCTTCAGTTTTAACCCTCTTTCGGGGAGCCGCCCCTCCAAATTGCATACCGAATATCTCAGCTTCCCGAGCAGCTACTACCAGCCCAATGTCAGCGTAATAGGCCACCAAACTGCAAGGTGCGGTTTTGTGTTCATGTGTGTCTGATTGTGCGTGCTTTCTCTTCTTCGATGGGCTGGTAGATTCCGTGGACACGTCAGAACTGAAGGAGTACAAACCCTGTAAGGAATTGTACTTGACATCAAACACCTGGCATATGTTTTGCGAAGTGACGAAAACAACGTCCTGGGAGGTTCGCAGGAAGGAGTCGACGCTAGACCCCGGAAGAACGAATTCTGAGTAGAGCTTTGGAACAGTGCCTGACAGATCGTAGGAGAGCATTTGCCCCTTGGTAAGAATGTGAAGAGCGCCACTGGAAGGATGTAGGGCGATTTGTGTAGGAGAGGCTTTTCCACTCGACGATTTAACTGGGCTGGGGAGATCCCATGACAACAGTTGCTTCAGTGGTGTGAGCTGAGCTGTAGGAAGATCAGCGGATCTTGGCTGAACTTGAAGGAGCGTCAACATCCTTGCGCCACCCGAATCTCGACCGACTGCGCAAAGGACCTGGACAAGATCCAGAAGGTCCGATGAAGCGTCTGGTGTTGGGTCCAGGGTTGAAGCAATGTCTTGTCGATTTCGCAATAGCCCCCGGGTGACTGACCTGGCACTGGCCAGCGTAGTGTGTTCGATCTCAACGTCAGTCCTTCCAGGCGCAATCAAGGATTTCAAGTTTGCGACCCATCTGACGACTCCCAAGTCATCAGAAAGACATGCGACATCCCCAGTGTCAAACGTCACAATAACATCGTGTGTGTTCTCCTTTGCTGAACCACCAGGCGCGACGGGGAGAGACTCCAAGGTTACAATATGCGCCGGGCCAGAGGGCGTGTACGAAGTTTTGGTGGTCTCGGTCTGGTCGCCTGAAGTCTTCTCGTGGAAACATACAAGCTGCGGCTTTTCGGCAGGCGAAGAGCCGACCAGGGAAACATACGTGAAGCGGTGCGTCGGTGTCTTGGGAGGGCCTTTGCGATAGATGGAGTACGGTGCGGTTGTGAAAGTAGCGCTCGGCGGCAGCGCATACGAAGTTACCAGTTGGGGGTTTTGAAGCTACAAATGTTTGAGTGGCTGTTGCTTATTACAATATGAGGGTACATACACTGTAAATGGATACACCCTCTCCATCGATGCCGACTGCAATCTCGGTGCGCTTCCTCTTCTTTGCGCCGCTGGCACTGCACACTCCAGCAGCATGCACGCGTCCGTTGGTAGAACTGATAGGCTTGGACAGCGACGCCAATGTGAAGGGGGCGCCAATTGGCTGATCGAACGACATGATGTTTGCCAGACCGTTGTATGAAATAATCCGAGTCTGCGTGAGCCGTAAAGTGAGGCGCGTGCTTTACATAGATTTGAGAAGCCGGGCCTGTCAAGAAAAAAGTTGGAGCTCCGGCAGAAAGCGGGCGGTGCGAAATCTTGGCGGCGGCGGAAGTGTGGCTTTAGTGGCGTCCCTAGCGCGTCACGTCGCGTGTACCGGAGCCCTGGAGGTGTCTTTAGGCCGTCTTTCACAACGACAAACACGAACCCTCACTTTCCGGTTCCTATGCAGCGCACTTTTTCTGTTTTTTATAATCCCACCTCTGTCAATCTATTTATATATCTTCAATGCGCTGGTAGCTTTTGAATCTGTAAATGGCCCTCACAGCGGTGCAATCTGCAATGAATCTAGAGAGCAAGACCGTACATCCATTCTTTTCCAAGTCCTCGAGTATGTGACCATGATGATATAGAGAAGTTTCCACTTACCTTTCCTGAAGGCACCCACGCCCCCGAATCAGTGGACCCCACAACCGAGCCCAAAAATGACGATGCACACGAGAACACCGAAACCACCGAAACCACCGAAACAAACCCCAAGGCTGGCCCAGGTCGCAAGAAACGGCCAAGGAAAACGGATGGGGTAAAGGACAAGAACTCCGGTTCTCACATGAGGAACCAGGCATCTCTAGACAGATTCACTCGCCCACCAACACAGGGGGCCGAGGGAAACACCATGCACAGCACCGATACCTCTGCGGAAGCCTCTTTAGACGTGGACCCCAACCACGATCGGAGGAAAAGACAAAAGACCGCCTCTCCAGACCCTTTACTGGAACCGCCGCCCTCAGCGCAACCGCAACCAGATTCTCTAGATTGGCATCAGCAGTTACAGGTACAAGCAGAGGGACCGATGGGCTTGCAAGGAACAACTGCACCGCTAAAACATACTGATTTGACAATGGTGGGCATCGTGGAGGAACCGACACATAAGCTAGAAGAAGAGTCAGGTCTGCCTCTTGCGCCTAGCACTCCACCATCCACGGCACTCCCAGGGACTGAGACCAGTCTATCGGAACCCGTCTTGGACGACCCCAAGAAAGTGATTCCAAAGAAACAAATCAAGATCAGCAAGAGCGGCAAACTTCTCTCCAGTCCACCGAAGCCAGCAATGGAGCCTGAAGCATCACTGAAAAAGCGACGAGGCCGCAAACCTACGAAAGCCAAGATCCTTCCTACTGTGACAGTCATTAGTTACGGCACAGATGCGACGAGTCGAGCAACAATCGGTCAAAAGATTGAAGATATTATGAATGCGCAGAAGACATCGAAAACACGCACAGCGACACAGAACAAGGCTCCACCGAAGCCCACTGCGCCCACGAAGAACACTCATCCCTTCTTTCGCGGCAAAGCCCAGAAAGATGCACCCCCAGCTAAAGTGACTGCCGAACTACCTCCACCAAACCCAAGGAAAAGCGCTTGTACTCCCGGGAAGCTACGTGCTGAAGCGCTCAGAGATCGATCGCCTGAGCCTGTGCACGCATTCAATAGCGGACTACGGACCAATAAAGACGGGAAACAATCCGGGTTGAACGAAGCTGTGTGGCCTACTGGGGAGAATGCACATGTTCGTAACATGGACACAACCAACCGGGAGCCACTTCTGGATAACTCAGCTTGCGTACAGCTAGCATTAAGGCCGAGGAAGCTAAAAAATGCCGTCGTAACCGTTCCAAACCGCGAAGATCTAGTCGCCAGACTTGTGCATGATCTACTCAGCCATCGAATTAGTCCGGATGATCAGTCTACATCACAGCCAGGGCACACCGAAGGCGCCCGGCTACCAACTCGACTACTTACTACAGGTGTAGAGATACAACGCAGAATACGTGAGCAACTGTTGGCCAAAGTGTCTACGTCAGGAATACGGGCGCCTCATCCCGCCATCAAAGACCTTTTTGATGAGATAGAACACACTCTTACGCCTTTCGATGAAGGAAGATGTGAGGTTCTGCCTTGGACTCAGAAGTACGCCCCAAAAACTGCATCGCATGTACTACAGACCGGTAAAGACGCCATAGTCCTGAAAGACTGGTTGCAAAGCCTGACGGTTCTCGCTGTGAGTGGCACACTGAAAGCAACCACCATGCTAGATGCAAAACAGCCACCCAAGAAGAAACGAAAGAAGGCTCTAGACAGTTTCATCGTGGACGATGATGAAGAGGACGAGGACGAGGACGAGGACATGATAATGATACCCGGTCCAGAAGGAACAAGTCTTATACAGCCAGGATCTTACAAGCTGCCACAATGGTCACGGAACAAGAACGTTGTGCTCATTAGTGGACCGCACGGAAGTGGTAAGAGCGCAACAGTGCATGCGGTAGCCAAAGAACTGGGGTTCGAAGTGTTCGAAATAAACGCTGGTATGCGTCGCTCAGGCAAAGACATACAGGACAAGGTTGGCGACATGACTGCAAACCACTTGGTGAATCATAAACGCGGTGCAGCATCTATACAAGAGTCTATGCAAGTCGACGAGGATACAGACGACGATCGCATGGACATGGCCTTAGAGAAGGACATCAGTAGCGGACGACAAGGAACGATGACGTCCTTCTTCCAAGCAAAACCCGGAGCAGCGACTGCCAAACCAAAACCCAAAGTACGAGTTCCAGAGGTCAAGAAGACAACAGCCCCTGCAGCCCAATCTACACTTCCTCTAGTGCAAGGATCGCGTAACTCGCAGAAGCAGTCGCTGATCCTCGTTGAAGAGGCCGACATACTCTTTGATGAAGACCAGCAGTTTTGGGCTCAAATCATCAAGATTGCCTCGCTATCCAAACGCCCCATTGTCATCACTTGCAACGACGAACGGCAAATTCCGATGCATGATCTGCCGCTCGCAGCTATTCTTCGACTTCAACCAGCTCCCATGGATGTCGCGACTGACTATCTACTTATTCTTGCGGGCAAGGAAGGCCATATTCTTGAGCGGCAGGCTGTCAGAGATTTGTACGAGTCGAAAGATCATGATCTTCGAGCTAGTATCATGGAACTAGATCTTTGGTGTCAAATGTCGGTGGGCGATAGAAAGGGTGGCTTGGAATGGATGTACCAGCGTTGGCCAGCCGGCAAGGACATGGATGAGCATGGTCGGACACTGAGAGTCGCCAGCGAAGGCACCTACAAATCTGGCATGGGTTGGCTTTCTCACGACGTATTCCAGACGCGATCCAACGCCGCATTTGACAAACAAGAAGAGCTCTTGCAGGAAATCTGGGCCGAGTGGGGAATCAGTCCATCCGCTTGGACAGCATCACTGAGGAACGAGCAACATCCACGTCCAACACACAACTCCGAACCGTCTTCTAGCATCGAACAGCTCAAGCGCCTAGACGCATACGCAGACTCCCTCAGTGCGGCAGATATATTCTGTCGAGTCGACCTCCCAAACTACGAAACCGACCACGACCAACCCATCGACGCAACCCAACCCCCCATCCCCGAAAAGTCGCGCCTAAGCTACAACCTCGCCGCGCCACTCCTACAAGTCGACCCCAGCGCTGACTATCTAAACCTCGACACCGCAATCTCCATTCAAACACACCTCCTCATCAACCGCACATACCCCGAACTATCAACCTCACAAACACCCCTCACAGAAGACGCTTCCGCCGCTTCCATCCTCCTCGCTCGCCACACCCAACGTACCTCGATCCCCCTGACCCGCCCTGTCTTCGCCTCCGCCCTCGACTGTCTCGCCGCTCCACCAGATCAACTCCTCGCCGAACGTACGTCTTTCACGCTCACGCCCTCGTCTTTCGACCGGACATTCAGCATCATTACGCTCGACCTCGCACCCTACGTCCGCAGCATAGTCGCCCACGAACAAATGCTCGAGGACCAACGTCTTCGCTTGGGTACTCTGCTCACCGCGGGTGGCAACGGGAAAAGGGCGAGGACTACGAGGGCGAGTCGCGTGGCGCTTGAAGGGGGTGTGAGGGAGACGAAGAGGAGGGATAGATGGTTTGAGGCTGGAGTGGATTTTGAGGCGGTTATGAGGACTGCGGGGGAATGTTGGGCGGGCATGGGTTGGAGGGGTGAGGGTGGGGATGAGGAAGGGACGGCGAGTGCGGCTGGGACAATGGTGGATGGGGATGTGGAGATGGAGACATCATCTTCTCAAGAGTAGGTAGTTTTGGCGGTTGTGTATTGTAAATAGTTGGAAGAGTATGTTGGGGTATTTATTGGCATTGCGTATGAGATGGGATCATGAAGTAGCATTATTATTAGCATAGAAATCAAGCAAATCCATACACATCACATCACATACATCAAGTTTCAACACAGATAGTTATACCAAAAAAGAGTATTCATACCTCATTACCTCTCAAACCCTGTCTATGCCAATATAGCACGTAACAACAGGCGTCCGGGTACAACAGATAAAAATTACCAACCAAGCCAATTAAAAACAATGCCACCCCCCCCCCCCCCCCAAGAAACGCCAACCTGACCCTGTCGGGCAAACAGGGACACAAAACGCCAATTTTTAATTCATCAAACCAACCCAAATCCAGCCCAGTCTCATCAGAATCGCAGTCTTGGCCTCTCCAATCCCAACTCCATCATACTCCTGACAAGCACGTCGCGTTCACAAACTAGCCTCACCCTCTTAGCCCCACGAGCAAACTATGTCGCAGACACAAGTGGCAGACCACGGCGGTTATTGCTATTGCCCTGTTTGCGGCTTTTCTTGTTGCCGGCCGTACGCATCATGTTTGGCGAGACGGTTGGTGCTGTAGCGACGATTGGTTCGGGGAGGAGGGGAGCGGCCTCTTTGTCCGTTTCGATTTCAGACTCGTTGTCTGAGGTGAGGAGGGTGGAGGGTGCGGTTGTGGAATCTGCGTCGGAGCTGGCTTCCGTCTCTGGTTCGGGGGTTGTTTCGAGGGAGGTAGAGGTGGAGGGGGATGTGGGGGTTGGGGTGTCGACGAGTGGTGGTGATGATGGATGCATGGGCTCTGCGGCTTCGGGCTGCTGGGTTGCAAGGAGTTCGAGATCGGGTTTGGGGAGCTCTGGGGTAGGTTCCGAGGGGCTCAGGTCGAGCAGATCATCGGCTTCATCTTCTTCTGGTAGAGCAATGGTAATGGCTTCATCATCCGCGGATGTTGGAGTGGACGGCGCAACGCCAACTGCTGGCAGCGAGGCATCTTGGGCTGTCGAAGCAGACACGGCTGCAGTCTGGTCCGTGGAAGAAGTTGAATCATCGATACGCTCATAGAAGAGCATAAAGACGTTACCCTGATGCGCTTCCTGCTCCGAGACGGCGTAGACGCTGTCATCACTGAATCGCCACCACTGCTCCGACTGCGGCTCAGTGACCGCTTGCTGTGACTCATTTTCCTGAGCATCTTCAACATTCTCATCTTCCTCTGCTGCAGCTTCAGTATCCTCTTGAACCTCGGTCTTGGGCGCAGGCTTCGGGTGCGAACGATAACAGACATAGTGACCGTTGCCATGCGAGCCGTAATGCGTGACGGCAGCGCGCAACTGGTACTGGAATGGCGAATCTGACATTGGTTCCCCCTTGGCTAGCATAGATTCCTTGGGATCCCGTGGCCACTCTTCCTCTGACGCAGCGGCCTGTTCCGAGTCCTTTGGCACGCCACCCAAGCACCAGTTCCCCAGGTCTAGTACAGTCGGGTATGTAACACCAGCAGTATTCTTGTATGGCATCCCAGTGTACTCGTTGAAACTGCTGCGGTTGACGTGGAGTACCAATGATTGCGGAGCACGTGCTACAACCGCCTGCTTGGACTTTGTGCTCTGTACCCAGTTCTTCTTGGGCACATTGAGCGTCTTAAGAAGTGTCTTATCCTCAAAATCCTCCTTTTCCAGTGCTTCTTGTACAGCGTCCAGACGTGCTTTCAGTGGCGATTCGGGCTTGGCAGTAACAAGAGGAGTCAGCGTCTTCTGCAGCTTAAGCAGCGTGCACTTTGCGCATTCCACACCATCAATAAACTCCAGTGTAGTGTACTCGTCAAGACAATCCCTAATGTCGTAGCCGTTGTTCTTGCCAAGCGATACGGTGATGCAGTTGAACGGGATGAGCGTAAGGCCTTCTGAGTAGCCACAAGATGTGCAGCCGACGCGCTGGGCTAGGCGGCCCTCGAGTGGGTTCGATGGGATGTGTTCGGGTGACGCCTCGTCTTTTGCTCCGGCTTTCTCGTCCCCGACTGGATCTGGTGAGTTACTAAGGCTCTTCGTAACTTCAAGCCAGGAGACAGAGGATCGCCGCTTACTACTGGCAGTCTTCTTAATCTCCTCATCCAGCGCATCCAAAATTTTGCTAAAATACTCCTGCGCGTCCTGTTGTTCAAAAGTGCTCATCGACTTTAGTTTTCCGCGAATCCAGAAATGCTGGCCCTTGTTCTCTGGGTTGTTGAGCTTGGTGATGATTTCGAAGAGTGCACCGTTTGTGCTTTCGGGTGTGAGCGAGGGATTTTCGGACATGATCTTGGCGAGATGGTCGCGTAATGAAGGAAGGGAGGCAAGGCCCTGGATGACACTATTCTGGTAGCAAGAATTGCTGATATTGCCCAAGCCAGGAGGCACTTCGCTGGGGCCTATGGAGAGGGCGTTCGCGACACCGCGTACTCCTTTCTGTATCAGGCCCCCCGGGCTCAGCGCGAAGAGGCTTCCCAGCATGCCTCCATGCTGCATTGTCTCGTCATCGGTCGACTCGGAAGACGTCGAACCGAACGACGAGCCACGCAGGCGTAACACGTCGGTAGCCATTTGTAGGAAGCGGTATACCCAAAGCGAGACTGGATAACCTAAAAAATCAAATGTCTTGAAAAGGGCGTATAACGCTATGATAGCACCTAGGATGACAGTGGTGATGGTAGTATGCGAATCGGTGGTGGAATTCCAGTGTTGTTGGTATGCTTCGAACTCTGGGAACTGATTGTAGTTCATTGCTGAGCGGGTAGAAATAGGCTGAAACGCTAGGGCAGACAGTGTGCCGTGGAAAAAAGCGCGGCGTTGTGTGGGTATAGCGGTAGCGATGGGGTGGTGAACTGTGGATTTAAAGGTGGAGGCGCAAAATGTCGAGTCCTTTCACCCTTCGGGCCAGCGCAGAGACGGTGTCGAACAGAGCAAACGCGGTGGTGTGTTTGTCTGCGACATGGGAAGGATAGGGCGCGACAGTCGGGCGAGATGAGCGACGGCGGGAGTGGCGGCGTTATGGCGTGAATATACAGGGCAAGGGCTTGTGCTTGCCCGTGATGTGAAGGGTTATCGGTCGGGGAAGGCGCGGGAAGGTGCTAGCGGCTCAAGTGGATCTTGCTGAGCGAGCTAGTGGGGAACTTTTAGAAATGTTGGTTGATTTCACAAGTCTGATCTCAGTTCAATTCACACTTTCTTTGCAGATTGAAAAAAGATATTCGCATTGTCGCTAGTCTTCGTTTTGTGCTTTTACAAAAAGCACCGGCATTCTCGAATTCAGAGCGCGAATAGCAATCTCAACACACAATGGCGAAGACAGCAAAAGTCAAGAAGCGCCGTACGTCCTACATACTCAAACACCTATCGCCCATTCCTAACATCCTCCCAGAAGTAACAGTACACTCCCGCGCCGCCCGCCGCGCTGCCTCTCCTTCCCTCAACCTCGACAAATCCGCCCAAAAGCCCGCCCACACAACCCGTGACTCGGCCTCACCGTCCCGCCCCTCAAAAGTAAACCCACACGCCCTCGCCGCAAAAGATGCCGGCATACAAAAAAAGCAGCGCAAGAGCGGCAACATGACGCGCGCGCAACGGCTACGGTACCAAAAGGGCCTTGAGCGCGCAGAGGACAACATGGAGAAGCTAGAGAAGAAGCGCATGAAGAGTTTGGGTAAGGAGAAGAAGATCAAGGAAAGGGCCAAGGGCTGGGAGGATGTTAATGGCGAGGGCTTGAAGAAGAGTAAGAAGGGGCATGCGGTTGAAGAGGTTGAGGTCGAGGAGATGACGGGGGATGGGGGCTGGGTTAGTGATGAGGAGATGGATGAAGTGTTGGGAGATGCTGGTGCGACAGATGGCGAGGTGAAGGTAGAAGGCAAAAAGGTTGATACCGCCGTACCGGAGACTGTTTCGGCGCCGGCGGTGGAAGTGGAAGAGATGTTGTGAGCAGGCAGGACCGAGAGAGTTGGAGAATACGAAAGAAACAGCATGATACCCAGACTCACGAATACATGTGTTGCACTTGTGTCAATTGCCTCCAGATTGATTCATGCACATCTCCGCGCCATGTGCCTTGTTTATACTATACAAAGACCATCCCAGGCCAACAATTAGAAAGGTCTCGTCCAAAGCAAACCTCACACAGCTTTCCTGCGTCACCTCCCTACCGACCCCTCCCCCAACCATTTCGATAATCATTATCCGTCTCCAGCGCCGCCTGCAACTGATTCTTATAACTGTTATACAGAGACCGAATCTGGCCCGTCTCCTCCATGTAATCCACAACCTTCCTCGCCTTCTTCTCCCTCTTCCGATCACTCCACCCATCCCGCTTGACCAGCTTCTCTGCCGTAAGATGGCCCTCTGCTTTGAGGTAATCCTTGACCCACTGGTAGAGATGGTACTTCCAGTGATACAGCGTATGTGCCACCTGCGCGTTAGCCTTGCACGTAGAGCCGAGCGGGAAACGATATGTCTCTGGCGGTATACGTTCTTTCGCGAAATTATACGCTTGCTTTTCGCCGTTGAGACCGGTTTCAGAGTCGGAGGATAGGCCAGAAGAGGAGTCGCTTTCAGAATCCGTGTCTGAGGCGACGGGCTCGAGCGTCTCTGGGTTGTAGGGCTGACCGGTGAGCATAAGCTCGAAGCTTGCAGTGTGGTTGGTGCGGTTGCAGGCATCGCAGTGAGGGGATATTATTGCTTTTTCAGCGGGGCTGAGGTCGTGGAGGAGAAAGTCTGGGCGGGCGCGTAGGGCGCGGGTGAAGTCTACGGTCCAGGCTGAGGAGGTGTATTTCGAACCTGCTAGGCCTTTGACTTCGTCATCGAGTTTGCGGAACGTTAATGTGTAGACGTGTTTTGTTGCGTCGAAGCCTGGGTGGAGCTTCTTCATTACCATCCATTCGACGGCGTTTCTGAAGAGGTCCTTTGTCTTTGCGCGTGATAGGCTGAAGGCGAGGCGCATTTCGTCGAGATCTTCGTTTGCAGCGGGCTCCCCAAGGGTGTTGTCGACTTCGTCGTCGATGAATTGCTCGTCGTCTTGATCCTCTAGGAACATGTCAAGTGCGTTTGCGTCCCGATCTGGCTCTTGTACATCATCGTCGTCCTCGTCTTGCTCCAAGATTTCCAAATCACTACCTGGTTCTTCCTTGATGATCTCAAGTTCGGACTCTGAATCGGTTTCCACAACCACTGCTCGGCGGCGACCAGGCGTTGCGGATGACGATACCTCACTAGTGCCAGCTCGTCGCCTCTTTAAAGCCTCAAGAGCTTCCTGACGTTTGTTTTTTGGTTTGTCGTGTACACTCCTCAGTCTACCGCGGTCTGGTAATGGAGAAGATCGTAGGAATGCAAGATCTTCTCTTAGTTCAACTAATTCTGGATCATCCTCACCCTCGCCAAAATCACCCGTATCTTCCTCATCCAAAGGAGAGACTTTCTTGCTTCTGCGTCTGGTAGGTTGCAGGCTGTTATCTCTGTCATCCTCATCCTCATCCTCAGATGGAGATCTTCGCCTCTTGAGTCTGCGTCGAGTACTTCGAGGTGGACTTTGTTCTTCTTCATATTCTTCCTCAGGAGATGGAGATCGTGGCCGGAGGATCTTCCGTTTTGAGTTTCGGGTTGGTGTAAGTAGCTCATCCTCATCATCCTCAGTGTCATCATCACTCTCTTCCTCGGTCTCATTCTCAGACGAAGACGAAGGTAAAGAAGAGGACTCATCGGGTGTAGGAGCTTTCATAGATCTCCGCCGAGACTTCCGAGATGCAGGCTGAATCCCAGTTTCTTCTGGTGTAGTCTCCCTCATCTTGCGCCGCTTACTGTCCCTCTTCTTCCTCGGCTCATCGTCCTCGCTGTCTGTTCCGATCTCCACAATTCGTCGGTGTTTATTCCGTGGTATAACCTTGACTGTCGGCTCCGCGTACTCGTCCTCAGATTCATCGGGCGGTGTCTCGCGACGTCTCTTTCGTGATTGCCGCACCACATTCACTTTGGTCACCTTTACCTCCTCTTCTGAGCTCTTGGAGACAGCCGATTCGTTGTCTGAACCATCAAACATGCCGCGCGCTGTACTTCCGGTAGGCTTGCCCATGCGCATACCTTTGTCCGTCTCGGCGCCAATCGTCTCACTAGATGTCTCTGAGTCTCTCTCTCTCTCGCCTCCTGTCGGTGTCAGCCTATTTGATCTCGACGACGTGGAGTCTGGCTTTGACGGCGTGTTTGCCTTCGTTGTGGCGGTCGAAGATCTCGTCGCAGGTGATGATTGCGTGGCTCGGGAGAAGTCGATTTTCGTCTGTCGTTTGCGGTCGCGCGCTTTCTTGGACCCCATTGCTGCCGTCGCCGTTGTGCAGGCTGCCTCACCAAGGAAATCTCACTTTCTCACCCGCAAGTTTTGCTATGCGCGCCTCTGTCGCGTCGAGCATGCGCGTTGCGAAAACGCTGCTGGTCGTCCTGGGGAATATCGCAAGAGTAGACAAGATATGTGTGATTACCTAGGTTAATCCAAAGTGGGTAGTGATGGTCCAAAATGGTGTCTTGCTTGACGCGGCCCTGTGCTACGCTGACGGCGGCGGCGGGGTGCAGGCAGAGAGATTGCAAGGATTTGGCGATTACAACGAGGCGCGAGAGCACGTGTGCTAGCGTCATCGTACATTCACCGTTCACAAAGTGGCTATGTTGGAACATGAACAAGGTGGAATGTGTATACTATCTGCAACGTCTTTTACAACGCTGTTCATACTATCGCACGTCCCTACCGTCATATCGGTACTTAAGGATTTGTTCTGAATAATCGACATGTAGGTATAGACACAAGTCTCCAAAGCAGTTGGGTTGTACTCAGAGTATGTCTGTTGCAGCAGAAATCTGACTTGGTGACTCTGTCTCAAGGTTCTTACATAAGGTAAATTGTGTAATTTTTATTATTCTCTTGACACGCATTTCCATCAACTTTGCTCAACACATACAAATTCGTAAGTACTGTTTATGCCCGTACCCAACAACACAGTGGTATTTTGATTGCTTGTAATAGTCCGAACCCCCTTTATATACTACAAAGTTACAATTAGAACTGTCGTCGCCATATCTGAGAATCATCGCACGTGCGTATTAAATGTCTACATTACTCCGAATTTATTTTTTATGTTGAGAATATCTGGGTTCAGTCCAGGTAGAAGGTGCTTGGGGGTCACATGATGTGCTGGTGTGGCAGGCACTGCCCGGTGGGCAATGGCATCCACCACAACAGCCTGAGAGGAGGAGACATAACACCATAGTCAATACAATACGTTGTAGCCACCCCGCCTTGTCCCTCCTCCCACTCGGTTATCCATAGTAGTCATACTACTAGAGGGACCTTGTTCCAATATTTTATTCTATTTCCACAACTGGATACCTCACAAGATTCAACGGAAGAAACATTCAAGAGATGTATCGCGTTGGTGCGCGACTCTACCTCTATCGTTACGTCATAATATATGGATCAGTGTATGTGTTGGGAATCGAACCTACGGTAGATAAGGCAGCTGGTTGCTGCATGCACGAGCTTGGATTACACGGCTGACTAAGCCGTGTGGTCCGAGCTCTAGCTGCTGCCTTACTGCCGACCTCCCTCCACCTCCATAGAACAACAAGAACAATCACAATCATTTCAACTCGTTGCAACGAAGGTGATTCCGATACCTTAGCCGTATCAACAGTATGAGAAAATGAGGTTGGGGTCATGTTAAATTCATGACACAGTTTTCAATGCATACTGTTCTCAAAAGACGCCCTTGATTCGATTGCATCCCCTATATTACCATGACCCCCTATAGCATCACCATAGAACCGCCATTCTCTTGGCAATATCAAGCACAATAATTCTCCTGCCAAAGGGGTACTTTGTTTCCTCGGTACATGCGACCCGTCAGGCGCGCCCACCTCCTTTACTCAACCTTAAGCCAACTCCAAGGCTCTGGGCCGTTTCGTCCACGTTGGGAACAGATTTCTGGCATCTTATTTAACATGCCAAACCCTTACCTGCAAGACCCCTCCCGGAAGGAAGACAACGGCCCGTGTTTCAAGCGCAGGTTAGTGACGGTGTGGACTTTCTGGAAGGACGTGTAGCATATGATTACCATGCTAGTTTGCGTTTAGATGCTCGTTAGTGAGTTGCAGGGTAAGTGATGCGCCTCGCCCAATCCTTTTCTCGCCCAACGTCGACGGGAAGGGATGGCAGATCGGGGCCGGGAACCAAGAGGTGTTACGGAAGCTGGGCGCTTGGGTGGTGGTATGTGCGGATATGCGTAGGATGGTGAGTCCGCAGAGTCAGGTCGCCTGCAGATTCTGCACATGCATGCGTGGACATGATATTCTGAGCCAACTCCGTACCTTCTTATTGGCGGAGAGTAATGTTTTGGGAGTGTATCTACGCTAGGAAGCCATGTAGTGACATTGAGTAAGATGATGGACGAGACGATTCCTTGGGTCCCATCTTATCCAACAAGCACTTCTGTTGAGGATCGGAGAGCTGCCTGCTGAGAGGACCGCCTTGTCTCTCTCGTGGAACAAGACGGCAGTCTTGCTTATCATCGGTCTAGCGACGGTCTACGTTGTACGAGTACATGTACAGCTCTCCTCAGAACTGTAGCTTCCGCCTCGGTCCGCTGAGCCCGAGACGCTCATCGCATCAAGTGAAGAGTAACGTTCAGTGCTGATGAGATGCTTGACGGCATATTCCACGTGTGGCTAGCTGCTTCGAGCATGCACAGGCGCCGAAGATCGAGATAGCACAGGGTTCGGAGATTCAGAGGCAGTGTGCAGGTTCCTCTGATGAGTGCGTCACCGTAAGCTAAGATGCAAGCAAGATCTAGATAGCGACGGGCAGGAGCTGGGCGTCGTGTAGCTATGAAGCTTGTTCAGCCGCACGCAGGAGCTGAATCGAGGCTATGCCCAAACATGACGATGTATATGCAAGAAGCGCAAACAGTGTTTGGACGTGGACGCGCACTGGTGCGAACGTGTAATGGTCAAAGTTTATGGGTTGGACGACGTTGGGGTAACGGTAGCGATCTTGGGTGGGGCGGCGGCCATGGTGGGCTCGGGCTGCTGGCATGCGGGACATCTGTCAAGAAATCACGCCATCTGCCTGTACCAAAGGAGTGGGAGAGAGCTAAACACAGCAGCGACTGTGCGCGCCACGAAACAAAATCCTTCTCCTTTGCGTGGAAGCAAATGCGTTGCAGTAAGCGCAAAAGGGTTTGACTGTCAAGTGTGTTAGAACAGAAGGGGGGGTTTGGTATGGAAAGCCGGCATCACCCGAAGACGCATCTGGCTTCTTTGCGGTAGGCTTCTTCAGGCATGGATAGTAGTGATAGCGCAGCAGTTGCAATATGGGGCGCAGTTAACCATGTTGTTCATGTTCATGTCCATGTCCATGTTTCCATGTTGGTGCAATGGGTGGGCATGTTCAATGTTGTCGAGGGCATGGGATAGCATTTTGGATAGGATAACTACTCGTGTCTGGCCCCGTTTGACGGCTCCCTGCTGAGACGTTTTGCTTTGGCCCCTCTCTCGATGCGGAGCCCCCCCAGCCCCAGTCGCTCCGCGGCGAGTGGTAAAGCCGGCGGCCGGTGCGTTTTTTGACCCCAAAGGGCCGAAACCCTGCAGGCGTGGGCCCAATCACACACCAGCTGGGGCAGGCTGGAACGGCAGGTGCCTCCAGAGCGCCTGCCTTTCCCCTTCCCTCAAGCTTCGCCCAGCCCACTCCCACTTGGCCTCGACGCTTATCCAACGACTGCAACCCCCGACCTCACCACCATCCTCACGCCATGCCGATCGTCTGAACCCCGATGGGCCCCTTCTACCGGATACGAATTGCTGCTGGACCAGTATAGACCGCCTACAAACATGTGGGAGGCCGAGTCCTGGCTTGGGGCGCCGAACCTCCTGGACCGTCGCGCGCCCGATGCCACCAGGCCCTACGTGAGTACCACGACTGCCGCGCCTGCCTCGACGCACGCGACTGACATTCGACACCAGCATTGTCCTTCGTATAAGCTTCCGGCCTATGGCACCATAGAAATCTCTCCTGGCAACACCATCACCCTCGACGAAAACGCCCTCTTCCGCCCACTATGCACAAACACGGCCGGCAACCCCATCGACGACGGCACCGGCGATCTCACGAGCGTCGCCGACATGCGCGACCCTTTCCACGCCTCCATCACTCCACAGGCCTATGCGACGGGCGCGGCGACGGTTATTGCCTGGATGCTCGTCATTATGCTCATCATCACGCCACGCACCTTCTTCGTCGGCAACGCTTCGGGACGGTCGGGCCTCATGGGACGGCGCGGAATGATTAGCGGGGCAGGAGGAGGAGGATCCATCATCGGAGTCGGAACCCGTCCATGGCTACAAAAGGTGGCCGCCCTTACCGTTGCCATATCGCTCACCCTCGCCACCGCCGACACTTTCAGGATAGCCGAACGCCAGTATGACGAGGGTTTCATCGACGCCATGGAGCTGCGCGACCAGGTTGTGGCCGGCATGGAAATCAAGGTTTCGCGCGTCGTGTCCGACATCTTCCTCTGGCTCGCCCAGGTGCAGACTCTGATACGCCTGTTTCCCCGCCACAAAGAAAAGGTCATCATCAAATGGGTCGGTTTTGCCCTCATCCTGCTCGACATCGCCTTTAGTTCGCTCAACAGCTTTGGTCCCTACGAAAACAGCCGACGCCCCGCACATTTCGACACTGCTATCCCCGCACTCAGCTACCTATTCCAGCTATCATTGAGCATGCTTTACGCCGCCTGGGTCATGTACTACGCCGTCACCAAGAGACGATACGCCTTCTACCACTCCATGATGTGGAACATGAGCGTCGTCGCCCTCTTGTCCATCATCGCCATTCTCACCCCCGTTGTTTTCTTCATTACCGATATCGCCAACTACACCATTGCCGGCTGGGGTGACTACTTCCGCTGGGTCGGAGCTGCCGCTGCTAGCGTCATTGTATGGGAATGGGTGGAGAGGATTGAAGCACTAGAAAGAGAAGAGAGAAAAGATGGAATTCTGGGGAGGGAAATCTACGACGGAGACGACATGCTGGACGACAAGCCCCAGGAATCAAAATGGCCCTCGAAACGAAAGGGCCCGCAATCAGGGAGAGACGAGAAGAGGAGTGGGGGAGGACATGGCGGTTTTGGCGCATTCACGTCTGCCCATGCCGACCGATTCAACGAGCTTGCCCATCGACTTGGGCGTAAAATGACCGAATCTCCGCGAGCAGAAGCACGAAAAAGACGCAGCATCCATATCCCCGCACCCCCTCCAGCAGTGCGACGATCCATGGCTGCAACTAATGGGAATCGCGACTCACGTTCCTACGTACGCGTACAAACCCCACCTCCAGTGCCTGTCATCTCGTCACCCGTTAGCCGGACAGACACAACAAGCGCTGACTCGACTGTATATACGGTACGCTACCACCCAATCAGCGAAACACCACGACCTGAAGAGGTCGAAAATCGTCAAGCACAAGCACAAACACAGCACACATCCCAGGAACCACCAGGCCGACCAGCGGATGCCGAGGACCCAGAGAAGGGCGGCGAGCTAGAACCTGTTAGCAACAGGAAGCAATGGCAGTGGCAAGCACTGGGAAACCCCTTTCGAAGAAAAGGACGGACACCACCACAAGAGCTCCAAAGGGGACAAGTGATCGAGCCGCTAAAAGTTGAAGATGTTGCGGCGAATATACCGCCCCGCAACTATAATGGACTGGCACTATCTGATCGACTCGGCACCTTTGCCGCACAGCAAGGAGAGAAGCTAAGATCGAGAAAGAAGTTGGGCACTCAGCTCGAAACCAACCTGCCCGTCACAATCATCCCTGCGCAACCTCGCGGCCAAACATGGTCGCCGGACATTATCCGTCAACAACAAAAAGAGCAGCAAGATGATTCTTCTAGGGCGGGTACCCAAGTTGCGAGTGAGGAGGAACGAGTAGGAGCATCTCCTGCGCAATCTCACGGGGCCACGAATTCGAGCGAGGCTGTGAACCTTTCTGCTTCATCCGGTTCGCCACGTACGCCTCGAATTCGTTTCTCCCCAGCGGTGCCCAACGAGCGAGAGCAGGCTAGCCCTGGAGTGCTCGGTGCAGAGACTACTTCTACAATGGATTTCAGCATCCCCCACCAGCACTCTCGAAGTGACCACAACAAGTAGCTCGCAGGTAGCTCTTCTTCTCTCGTATGTTTCTGTTTATATTTGGCATGTTGATAGCACGTATATACCCCCCATGTAGTAAGGCGTATTGGAGACAGGTTTTCAGGCATCTGGTTGGAAATAGCATGCAGCATTTGGCATGCACGGCGCAGTTGGAACTTAAAAGAATCTTTGGTGTTTTCACGAGGATTGGATACCCGCCGCCTTTTACGGTCAGGCTCTTTCATGTAAGAAGCGTAATGAAGCGCAGCACAGACACGACCGTCTATGCATCATAGTTAGGACAGCAACAAAACAAGACATTTTGATCAATTGACACGTGCTCTCTCGGCGGTATTGTTGACTGTTGACGTCTATGCCAAGGTTCTTACTTGTTGATAAGAGTGGAGGAACCGGTAGAGCATGGGCCGGGCGGCAGTGGAGCCCGATTCCTTGCAACGCCGCATCATAGCTCCATGTTATCATCGCGCGTGGGCACCTTCCGTCTGAGCCGTGACCCTGCAGCCACTACCTCTCATCTACAGTGTGCAAGTTGAAGATATAGACAAACTTGCGCACTTTTCCCCAGTGACAATGTCTCTCTTTGGCGACGACGACGCGCCGCACGCGAAGCAGTCGTCCTCGCTCTTCGACGACGATCCCAAGCCCGCGGGCAAGACAGGCAACAGCTTGTTCGCCGACGACGTGGGCGACAACGACTCGCCCTGGGGGTTCCCGACACCCAAGAAAGCCGACCGCGAAGCGCTGGTCAAGTCGCTCTTGCCCGCCGGTGACGTGCCCGACTCATACATTGACGCATTTGATGCATTGCTAGAGGCTGGGAATGGCGCGGGCAATTGTGTGAGTGTGGACGGTGTAAAGAAGCTACTGGCCGACAGCGATATTCCGGCACATGCTCAAAACAAGATACTCGAGACTGTGCTACCGCCCGGTGGTGCCGCCGAGTTGGGAAGGAACGAGTTCAATGTTGTCTTTGCCTTGATTGGGCTGGCGCAAGAGCACGAAGATATTACCCTGGACAGCGTCGACGAGCGAAAAAGGAGTGAGTGTTAGCAACGTCTTTCATGTGCCCACAGAATCACGCTGATGTCGACAGATCTCCCCGTACCAGCCGTGTCGTTGCCGCAATCAACAAAGGTCCGAGAGCCTTCTCCTCCACCGCAAGACGCCCGCCCCCCAACCCCTCCAGCGCCCCAACGCCAGATTTCTGAGCAACAGACGCCGGCCGCGACCAAGCCAAGTGTGTCTATGCGCAAGCAGTCCTTTGGCGACCCAGAGGCAGATCCTTGGGGCAGCCCCGACCTTCACAGGGGCCATAGCCACGCGAGCTACGCCATTGCGCAGCCCCACACGAATGGTTCAAGTATCCCTTCCACTGCACGAACAACGAGCCAATTTACGACGCAATCCACTTCCAACTCGTCGGCCATCCAGCCACCCATTCAATCAGGTTCCCTAGGCAGTGAGGGTGGCTGGGGAGGATACAACGGTGGGTCAACCCAGTCCTTTGCGCCAAGTGGTATGGGGGAAGGAGGTTTCGGCGTACCTGCAGCTGCAGAGAGCAGTTCCAATGGTCCGCCAGAGCTGGGCAGATCCATTGGTCGGCTGAATCCATCCGGTAGTGGCAATGAGGAAGTCATCGCAATCACAGCGCTCTCCGAGAAAGAAGGCATGTTCATGTTCCAGCACCGCAACTACGAAGTCGCCAGCTCACGGCGCACAACAAAGGTTGTCCGTCGATACAGCGATTTCGTCTGGTTATTAGACTGTCTGCATAAGCGATATCCCTTCCGACAGCTCCCGCTGTTGCCCCCAAAGCGGGTCGGCAGTAAGTTTTCCCTTGATAGTCTTCCTGATGTGTATTGAGAATTCTTAGTCAACGGCAACCCAATAGCTGCTGATGCCACTTTCCTCGAAAAGCGAAGAAAGGGCCTCGCACGGTTCACGAATGCGCTCGTACGACATCCAGTCCTTAACCAGGAACAACTGGTTGTCATGTTCTTGACAGTACCTACAGTAGGTTTCAACATCATCAACTGGCAGTGAACGTACTGATCAAAAACAGGAACTCGCAGTATGGCGTAAACAAGCCAACTTATCCATCCAGGAGGAGTTTGCTGGCAAACCTCTCCCACCCGATCTTGAGGACTCTCTCCCAAAGACTCTCCCCGAACTCTTCGACACTGTCCGATCTGGTGTACGACGTAGCGCCGAGACCTACATCACCCTCTGCAGTATGATGGAGCGACTTTCACGCCGTAACGAAGGCATGGCTGCCGAATACGCACGCTTTTCCTCTGCCCTCAGCGGCCTCACCGAATGTAGCCAAGAAACATACGCCGTTGATGCAAATGACGTTCCATTGTTAAACGAGGGCTTGAACTCCACAGCACGACATCTCGACTCAAGTAGACAGTTGCTTGAGGACGAAGCAAGAGGATGGGAAGAAGGCGTCCTCGAAGACCTCAAGCGCCAACGCGATACCCTCGTCAGCGTACGTGACATGTTCGACCGCCGCGACAAATACGCACGCGACAACATTCCCCAACTGGAGAAGCGCATCGCAAGCAACGAGACTAAACTAGGTAACATCCGTAACAAGCCCGCCGACCAAATCAAGCCCGGCGAGGCGGAGAAGGTCGAAGATGCTATCTTCAAGGTACGACTACAGGCTTCCATCCGTCCTTTTGGTTCACTGTAGAGGGAAGTTTGTGCTAACTCAATCTAGGACAAGGAATCGATCGTCCAACAACACGCCCGTGGTGTCTTCATCCGCGAATGCATCCGCGACGAACTCATCTTCTTCCAGAAATCCCAATATCACATTAGTAAACTGCATCAGGATTGGGCGCAGGAACGTGTCAAGTATGCCGAGTTGCAGGCGGATAACTGGCGTGCGCTTAGTGAGGAGGTGGAGAGTATGCCGAGTGCCGAGTAGTGTGGGTGAAGGTGGAGGAGAAAGGTGTGTTGAATGTGGAATGGAGGGTATAGGGGATGTGTTGAGAGAGGTGTTGGCTGGTTGATGGCCGAGAGGGAGAGGAGAGGAGTTTGCATATCATTTGGGCTTTTTTCTTTGTGAAGAATGCGACGACGACGCTTTCATGATGCATGAATGTGATGGAAGTTGGGGGGAAAGGGCTGTAATTTGTACATGTCTCATAGGCCCTTTTGTTGTTGTTGTTGTTGTGGGTTTCCTGTTTCCTATCTCTTTTTGGGGGGTTTTGCATCAACTGTTGACGGCTCGATACGATACCTCTTTTTGTTTATGATACGATAGCACAATATGTTTCTCTTGTCGTTTGTTGCTGTTTCCTTGAAGATTACTGGTGTGTCGTGGCCTTGACAAGCATGCACCATGTCTCTGAGTTCTCACGTTGTCACATGACAAACATATGTATGCACAGAATGAGTTGTAGTTTGGAATTCAAGCATTTGATTCTTGGCAGTCAGTCTCAAAGCGAGATGTTAAACACTTTCCCCGCATTTGCCCATCCTGTGAAAGGAAAATAAAGCCATGCCCCATGCAAGAAACCATCGAACCGCCTCCGTTTCCCCGACAAAACAAAATCGCAATGTAATTTTTCCGTTTCTTTTGATCTCGTTAAGCCATGCTTGCCAAGTCGGGTTCGAAGGCGAGGTTTCGTTTGTCTTCGTTCAGGTAATCATCGCGGGTCAACTTGCGCCTCCTACGCCGGCCGTTGCAGAATCGTAGGGAATTTATCGGTGCTGAGCGATAATTAGCGTTTGCGGTCTTTTTGCAAGATGCACGCGTGATTGGCAGGGTCGTAAAAGAACACGTTGCGTAATCTGGTGGTGAGAGTGTTTGAAGGGTAAGACAAAACGCATACCTTGACGAAACCAATGTCGGCGGCCTTCTCGCGGAAGCACTGACGGCAGATGTTAAGGCCGTACTTGCGGATCAGACCAGCAGGGTGGGTGCAGACGCGGCTGTGAGTACTGTGTTAGCCATTGCGCATTGCCTAAACCCTAAACCATCTCTCCGCCCTCGCCATCCATCAGGGTGCGCTCAGCGCCCCGGAATCGGTATATAAAGGCGTGCTGCTGTAGACGTACCACTCGCGGGAGCCCTTTCCGTAGGTCCTAGGACGCGAATACCAGACCGACTCGTGAGACATGATGTGTGGTTGAAAGGAGGTAGATTGACCGTTAAAGGTGTCTTGCTGCGATGCCACAAAATCAGTATTTCTTTCGCCTTTATTTTCCTTGCCTTGTCCCTAAGGATTCAAAAGTGCACACTCACAAGATGTTCTCGTTGTCGTCGGGGGCGCAGTTAGCGGGCTGGAGGTCAAAGTTCACGATGTGCTGGGGAGGGTTGCGCTGCCTGCCGATATTCGCGTAATTCTGTGTGCTAGTCCGTGCGTTCTGGCGCTAAGAGCATCGCTATCTGTCGCTTTGCCAAGAGATCGCTGTCTTCGACGGCTTTCACCAGAAGTTGCCTGATGGGGAAGTTTAACGGGAAAGAAGCGGGGCCCGGGGTAAGGCAGAGATCTCGACTGCTGACCGCTGCAGCTGTATCGGCCGGGCTTGGAAAGCTTGGGCTTACGCAGCAGGCAGGTATAGCGTATACGAGGATGGTGATCAGTGTGTGGCGAAGTGAACTGTGGGATGGAAATCATGATGCGCTTGACGATTTCGATGTTGAAATGACTACTACGACTACTATTTGGTCTGATAGGGATAGCGAGCCACATAGGCTACCCGACCACTCTCAAATCCCTACTCATGAGTAGCTATGACTTCCACTTCTCTGCTATGTACCCGCTACTTATGGAATATTCTCGGTGTCTTAGTTCCAAATTTCTTGTCCTTCGACACATGTGTTCATGCGCACTGAAGCAACAGCATCCCACTTGCTAGAAACGGCCTAGCACAAGAGCATATGTAAGGCACCCTTTCACCTTACTCCTACTCTACACCTTTACTTCTTGTAGTTTTATTGACTAAAATCGACATGATGAACCGCCATGTCCCTGTTCGTGTGAATCAAAGAAAGTACGAAGACGTCCTGATAATGCCGCTCCTCCTTCCTAAAAAGCAACCACCCTCGTGAAAGACTTATATGACCCGTTGTGCGAACTCTCATATTTCTTTCACTTTTCCATCTTTACTATCATTCCATTCACTAATATCACAGAAATGTCAGCGACATGAGGCAGACGACTGGTCGGCAAAAACATACCTCAAAACTACCTTCGTTCCTGTTTATGTCCGAAAGTCAGCCTGCTAGCGATATTGGAGTCGTCTGCTCTTTTACAACTAAAACAAATCATACCGAATTCATGGAGCGCCTTTCCTTTAGCCCACGGGCCCAAGCATATGATTGTCTATATAAACTATACCTCAATCTGCATTCTTCCTTCTTCCTTTCCACATTATCTCTCTAAATCTAGGAGTATTCGAAATCTTCGACATTTCCGATCATGTCTGCGTGGCCTGAATAAAAAAGGATATAGTGCCAGTACATGTTTTACCTTTGCCTTCCAGAGGCCGTATAGCATTCGGAGGTTGTCTCTATGCACTACAATTTCCACCCACACTCTACTTGAAACTTCCCTTCTATATTTTCCCTGATCAAACCTGGGACACACAAAATGCCAATAATAGACCAGCATGCCTAGGTCTTTGAAGGTTGAAAAACGGAATAGGACCTGGCATATGCACCTCTTTCCGCCTTGTTGAAAAGCAGTTTGAGGGTATATATGTGTACCAAACCTTCCGTCTACTTTCTACTTGCCTCTCTCTTCTACATCTATTCCTAAAAAGAAATGCCGAAACTAAGATTTAGCTATGATGACAAAAATTCATGTGTTCCTAGGACCAAGAACACGAGTACCTTCTAAGCAATGTACTCTCTGTCTTTTCCTACCTCAAGGAAAGAGTGTACAGATATCAACTCTCGTCTACCCTAAACTTTCCTTCTCTACATTTTGCTCATAGCACCAAAAGATTCGCGTCAAAAACAACACAGATGTCAATGAGCAAGCTGAGCGAGCTCAGCCAATTGGCTTGCTCAGCCAATTGAGCGGAGGCCAGCAGCTCGCTCGGCTCGCTCGGATTGGCTGAAACAGGGCTGTCAGCTCGCTCGGCTTGATGGGCTCAGTCCCGATTAGGAAAGTTATATAGAAACCTTGGTGTTGAGTTTCTCAGCTAATATCCCACTTATGTACACCGTATTTCGCGTCCATCTCCTCATCGCTGATAGCCTCCTTTACAGGCACCTCACCACTGCCAAATCCAGCTCTTATCCATCGTCGATCGCACTGTATTGCTGCTAGAAGTTGCGGAGAAATGCTGCGCCGACGGGGCTCGAGGAGGTCACCCAGCTCGCTGAATAAGCGCTCACACTCACAGCTTGAGCCTGGGATTGATAGCATGTCGATAGCAAATTTGCTAAGGCTAGGGTGGCGATCGCGGAGTTCTACCCAGTATTTTATAGGGTCGACGCCCTCGCCAGCGATCGGTTCGCTGCGTTTCCAAGCCTCATATTCATCTTCCTCGTTCTCCGTAAGCCCTGCAGGCTCAATAAAGTTGTTGATAAAGTTGCCGCGATTTCTGGAGCATTAACGCGTGTTCTTTTTGCTGGCATTATAGCAACGGCGAGGTAGATAGTAGCTGCAAATAGAGACGCGTTGATGGAGTATAGATGAGTGTGGTGGGTGATAAGTAGTAAGTGAAGTGTCGCAAAAGGAGAATATTGTTGCCAGGCGGTTAGCCGGAAATTTAGTAGCTTATTTGCTAGAAATATAGCAAAAAAGAGTGTATTTTATGTTATAACTAGGTTTCGAACTTACGCACTACACCTAAAAATCATCGTGAGATTGCCCCTCCACCAAGTCCTTCAGCCCCAAGTTTCCAACCGCCCCATCTAACCAAGCTAAGCAAGCTGACTGAGCGAGCGCCTATCCCTAAGCTCGCTCGGCTTGCAAGCGCGCATTGCGCGCTCAGCTCATTCGGCTTGGTCAAAACGTCCAAGCCGAGCGAGCTGAGCGAGCCGGCTCGCTCGTTGACAAGTATGAAAAACAAGCACCTGGAAGGACATGTTATATGTCTAGCATGGCCCGCCCTACGCAACCATACACGTGTGGGTACTGCCGCGAACCTGTTATAAATTTTCCGGTACTTAGTACCTCTCTCTCTCTTTCTATCTCTTCCTAAAAAAACTTTCTTAAAATATTACCTAAGATTCAAAAGATCAAACGAACAATGTATGTGTGTGGTGTGCCCTCTTGGGTCTGTATAAGCTTAGATTTACAAGTTGGCTATGTCTATTAAATTTTCTCCTACCTACTCTTCTTCTCCACTTCATCTCTCGAAAAACAAGGAAAGAACAAAAGAGACTACATAAAGGGGGAATGTCTGCCTCGACTTTCCAAAAATTCACGCGCAATCTCTACATGGCGTCTTTTTCCTGCCGTTCCAAAATAGGGACTTCTGTATTGAATGTCTTCTCTCTTCCTTCTCGGTTCAAAATTGCTAAAACAAGATTCAAAGTCTGCATGTCTTTCCTCCGCCTTCCCACTACAGAATAGAAACTATAGGGCTACCTAGGTTTGTCTCCTCCCTGGATTTCTTAAAACTTTAGTAACCCGTCGATATTTCGTGGGTATTCCGGGCTGTTGTAAAAACCGCAGTATACATCCTGCATGTCTGCTCTCTTCCTTCCGCTTTCTAACTTTCTAAAACTACGCGCAATGAACCAGACGTCTTCTCTCCGCTCTTCTTACCCGCACCTTAGGGACTATAAATTCTTCGGCTCTCTGCCCTTGTTGCACTTGTTCTTTAAACCGAAACATTCTGTAATAAAAAATACACCACAACCTTTAATGTGTTTGACCCGCCCCTCTAAAAACCGAAATTAAAAACGCTTACAAGTTCGATGATGTTGTCTTTCCCTGCGTGTACAAAATTGAGGAGTGATGGAACATGTCTTCTCTCTTTCTCTGCCTTCTTAGCCTTTGAAAAAATCTCTGCTCCTTGGCATGTATGGCAACTTTTAAAATCTCTCTATTCTCATTTCTCTAAATTTCGTCATTTTCCCGACATATACTAAAAGCGGAAATCTTATCAACAATGTGTGCTTCTGCTTTCTAAGAACTTCAACTTCCCACCTATATAGGCTTTTCCAGCGGTTAAAAACATTGTCTGAAAAACTCATATTTTCTATTTTCCTTTACTATTAAAATGGACTTATCTGGAATCTATGCTGCGAGAGTACATGTCTCCCCTCTACGTCCTTTACACTCTTCTTCTAACTACTTGTGTTGGGAATCGAACCTGCGGTAGATAAGGCAGCTGGTTGCTGCATGCACGAGCTTGGATTACACGGCTGACTAAGCCGTGTGGTCCGAGCTCTAGCTGCTGCCTTACTGCCGACCTCCCTCCACCTCCATAGAACAACAAGAACAATCACAATCATTTCAACTCGTTGCAACGAAGGTGATTCCGATACCTTAGCCGTATCAACAACTTGTTTCTCAAACTATACATTTGCTTTTCAAAACTTGGCATGGAAACAAGTATATGTGCGCTCTGATTTCTTAAAACCCTCAAGAAAGAGATACATGTTGTCCTTTTCGACTGTTCTAAAAGATAGCGTGGATGAACAAATGTTTTTTCCCTTCTTTCGGGATCTACACTCTATTTTCTCAAAAGACACCTACCTTATCATTACCTATATTTCTCCCTCTACGCCTCCGACACACTTCTCACACTGCTTTTTTTCGTCTAAAAAGTTCTGCAATGAAAAGATTAGCAACAACGGCTATGTGTGTGCCCCGGTCTTCTAAAAACAGTGACCACATCACGACATGTCGTCCTTTCCGACTGCTCGAAGAACAGCAGAGATTGTGAACCATGTCGTCCTTCCTGAGTGTTCTAAAACATACCGCGGTTGAATGATGTCTTTTCCCTCCCTCGGCCATCTAAACTCTAGTTTCTCAAAAGACACCTGCCTTACCACTTCCTATATATGTCTTCCTCTACGCACCTTCCTCTTTCTCTCTCCACTGCTTTTCCAAAACTGAAATTTCACCAAATAAAAAAACTTTAACACACACTTAATGTGTGCTCTTTTCGTCCAAAACTTCGTGGATACCGGTCCATGCCGTCCCTTTCGACTTTTCCAAAATTACGCCAACGACTTGTACATGTCTTTGCCTCCAGCATTCCCAATCTAGCTTCTAAAACAGCCAAGTCTTTAGGACTATGAATACCTCTGCCTCTGCTCTCTCCAAGCTTTTGTATCACTTCTTCCTCGTAAAATCCAAAAACCATGGTATAAAAGCTTGAAAATCAAGTTGCATGTGGCGCTTTCCCGGTCTTTCTAAAATCAGAATCAGGGACTGCCTATGTCGTCCTTCTCCAGCGTTCCAAACATGTATGACAGCAATCTTATGTTTTCTGCCTTCTCTTCGCCGTCTCTACCCACCTACATCGACAACTTCTGGGATCCACCCTTAGGCCCCTCAAAAATCTCCATCGGAGGAGTAGATAAACCTCCTACTTCTCTCCTATACCTTCTTCTTCTCTTAAACTATCTTTTCCTTCTTATTTCCATAAAACTATTTTGCACCCCGCAATGTGAGTGTGTGTGGCTCCTCCTTCTGAAAACAATAAAAGTTGTCGGATCGTGAGTATCGGTAGAGACGTCGGCTGCTTGACACTTCGGCCCGACTTCGGCCCACCTTGCGCAGAGCTTAGGTATACCTTCGTAGCAGCTATGTTCGTAGACAATTAAGAACAACCACCGAACAGAATGCATTCCTAGTTATCGTTATTTCCCTTTACGCACTTAGTGCAAAGCCAACCAACAAAAGTATTACTATTCTGTCTGCTTGGAACAAAAAGAATTAGCCACAAGCTTATGAGTTGGCCGGTTTGGTGAATGGGGGTTTCAAAATATGTCGAAAGTAATGAATGGTGTTTTGTGTTGCGGCTGTCTCAAAAAATCGAAAAGATCGTCAATGATGAGAGAGGAGGAGGAGAGATAAAAAAGATACCATAACTAAATATAGTGGGAGGGATTTATAGGTGTGAGAGAATTGAAAAAAAATGCCGAAAGAGGTCAAAATGGTTCGGGTGCTGGGACGGAGGACAAAAGGAAGGAGGCCCTATCCGATGTGTGGGGGACCTGTGGGTGTGGAGGAATTAACCAAAAAGATGAAGATATAGACTTCGATGGTTCGGAGGCTGGGAGGGAGTTCGGAAAAAATACAGCGCTTGATATGCTGGGACCGTGATGAAGTGGGTTTCCTATCCCCAATGTTCCGGCGCAGACTTTACTCCCACAATAGAAGGTACAGCTCTCTTTCGCGCTCGTTTTTAAAAAATTGATACATGAAGCGGTGATGAGGTTCAAAATTGGATTTCAGTCATACCATGGTTGAGCAAAGCCGCTTGTTCTAAAATTCACATAAAGGCCTCCCATCAAATCCTCCTCCGGCTATACGCCCAATACGCCTTAACGGGCAATTTCCAATCTACTGTCCTTAGCCGTTGATCGAAAACATCAAAGTCTACCTTCTGTAACCTATCCAACCAGCTCTGCGTCGCTATACTCGGCATAAAAACGCCAAATGCTTGTTCCACCTCTGCCAACTGTGTTTCCTGACCCGTGTTCAACTGCTGTGCGCTATATACATGTTCCTCCTCGTGCTGGTGTTCAAAGTCGTGGCCTAGGGTACCTTCGGAGCGCAGCTTGGAAAGCATCTCGCGAGCGGTGATGAGGTGGTCGTTTGCGCGGGTTGCGACTGTGAAGACAGCGTCGCGGAGGCCGGGGGCTGAGGCACCTTGACGGAAGACGTCTTCTTCGCGTACGTTTGCTTCGGCCATTACGTCAAGCGGGAGGAGCACGGCACCCTGCGTGGGGCCGGATTGGCCTGTCATGGAGTTGCTGGTGCCGAGAGGCTGTTGGGGTGGAAATGCGATGAGTGGTATGCCGCGTAGAACAGCGGTTATGCCCATTGCTTTGCCGATGTGGGAGGCGATGTGGTCGGTGGTGAGTGAGGCTTGGGGAAGGGCTGATAGTGTCAGGTATAGCATAGTCGAGTATGTGTTCTCTGCATAGCTTTCCAGTGCGCTCAGGGTTGGGTATGGGGGGTTGCCCAGATGTTGTTCTCGAGTGTTGATGATGCGGTGGAACCAATTCTTGCTTAGACGTGCTTTGCCTGCTGATCGTTCATGTAGTTGCTCGGCTGCCTGGGCTAGGAGGATGGCTACAGGCTCTTTTGGTGGTGTGCCTGCTAGGGCTTTGGTGACTGTGTCCCGCCAGAACTGCATGCGCATCATGCCAATTGTGGGTGTGCTCGTGGTGTCGGCCACTCGGGCGACATCAACATTGAAGGCGCGGATGGCGAGGTAGGCATCGCGGGAGGATTGGGGTATGAAGGTTTGGAGGATATGCGAGGGTGCATCGTATGTGCTGTGGCGAGTGAGTTTTGCTGGATTTCAAGAGTTGAGGCATGGTTGCTGTACCGGACTAGATTAGCGCAATATGCGCGAGCTCGTGCGACTTCGTCTTCTGAAGGTCGGGCTGCATCTCGGCGACATAGCGAAGGGTGGAACAGTCTTCGTTGCGGTCTGGAGGGGTGATGGATGCGCCAGGCGGGAGCGGTGCGGAGCCTCGGAGGTGGCATTGAGACTTTTTGTTGATATTTACAAGGGCAAAGAAAGAGCCATCGCAATATACAACAAAGAAGGAAAGCTTTAGGAACAGAGATAAAGTACAAAGCAGAACTTGGGCTGGCCTCTTACGATATCCATTGCTTGTGGTGATGCGCAAAGAATCAAAGGCGACCAGGGTGTATGACGCTATTATGTCGATCACCCGCAATTAAGAGCGCGTCGTGTGGACGTGTCGACGCGCCTGAAGACTTTATGGAGGCAAACTTCCAACAACCAACAACAACGCCATGGAATCGTCACACCCAGAGGAGAGACCTGTGAAGAAGCGCCGGTTCTTTATTGTGGATTCCTCGCCTGAACCGGTCCCGTCGAAACGCTCAGATGTTCCCCCATCTTCCCCGCCACCGCAGCCTCAGCACCATGAAGCGATACCAGACCGGACCAATGGCCATAGCGAGGACGAGGATTTTGGAAGTTTCGATGTTGGCATGCTTCAGGCCGTTGTTGGAGAACTTTCCGTGCCGATACTGCAGAAACTGAAGGATGTTAGTGGAAGTGACGTTCAACGAGGTAGGCAGGCAATTAACAATTCAGCACACTACAGGCGCATAGTTGACCTTTTGCAGCAATAAACCTATATCTGGATGGATCATGGGATGCAATGCCTGCACCGATGCCTGCCCCCGTCTTTCAATCCCGCCCGCAAAAAGTCCAGATGACGATAGCGAAGACGCTTAAACGCACCGAATCCGAAGCGTCCAATGCCTCCACGCCAGGCTCCGACACCTCGGCGCCCCCAGTATTACGAGTTATGTCTTCAAAACGATACATTGGTTCATTTGGCGCTGCTGCTTGGGCTATCAGAAGTGGTTCAGGCTTGCTGAAGCATGACGAGAAGATCCACATAGAGCGTCAGAAGTCGCAGCCAAGGTTGAACAAAGCGAAAAAGGTTATTCAGTTAAGAAAAGTAGATACAATGGTGCGCTTCACAAATGCGCGAGGAGAAGAAGTGGGCAGGCTCGACAATGAGTCAGCAGTCTGGGTGTCGGTGTTGATGGACCAAAAGGTGTGCTCGTTCGAGGGCTCCGTCGTCTATACTCCAGACAAGTTACGGACTGGCGATACAATATATCTCCAACTGCGCGCCTATTTCTTGCGCGGCGCTTTTGATAAGCGGAAGTTTGCGAAGCCGGATAACAACCGCGAGATCAATCTTTTCGAAGAAAAGGAGTCGTCCGATGAGCGAGACTTGCGTTTGCGCCAGATCGCTCTTGTCAAGCTATTCGAAGCTATCAATCTCCAGCCAACACACGAGAACGAGACGACAGCGAAACACAAAAGGCAGGGCCTGCTACAGGCAGCAGAGAGTGAGGAGAAGAAGGCTGAAAAGCCCAAGCCTAAGAGCGGGACACCAGCAACGTCTGGCGATACAACATCTTCGCCGCCTGCTGAAGAGGCCGAAGAAGGAGAAGAGCTTGAGCAGGATCAACTTGACTCACTGTACAAGAAGGCACAGTCGTTCGACTTCGACACCCCTACTATGGAACCTGCCGACAGTTTCCGGATGGACTTGCGGAAATACCAGAAACAGGCTCTGTTCTGGATGGTCAACAAGGAGAAGGACCAGTCAATTGAGGACAAGGAGACTTCGATGCATCCCCTATGGGAAGAGTACAGATGGCCAACCCAAGATGCGGAGAACCAACCACTACCGGCTATTGAGAACCAGGCTATGTTCTACGTCAATCCATACTCAGGCGAACTCTCGTTGGACTTTCCCGTACAAGAACAGAACTGCTTGGGTGGCATACTTGCTGATGAGATGGGTCTCGGCAAGACTATTGAGATGATGAGTTTGATCCACACCCATAGGAATGAAGTGAGCAGTGAAGCTTCGAAGACCTCTAAGACTCTCCCACGACTACAAAAGAGCAGTGCTGCTGTGGAGCTTGCACCGTACACTACACTTGTAATCGCACCCATGTCGCTACTGGCGCAATGGCACAGTGAAGCAGAAAAGGCATCCAAGGACGGCACACTGAAAGCAATGGTATACTATGGCTCAGAGAAGGCTGTCAACTTGCAAAAGCTATGCTGCGCATCCAATGCAGCAAATGCACCAAACGTCATCATCACGAGTTACGGTACAGTACTATCAGAGTACAACCAGGTCGTGGCGCAGGAAGGAAATCAAGGCTCGCATGGTGGCATCTTCTCACTCGATTACTTCCGCATCATCCTTGATGAAGCACATTACATCAAGAACAGGCAATCGAAGACAGCAAAGGCGTGTTATGAGCTCAGTGCGAGGCATCGATGGGTGCTGACCGGCACACCAATTGTCAACCGCTTGGAGGACTTGTTCAGTCTAGTTCGGTTCCTCAAGGTCGAGCCGTGGGCCAACTTTTCTTTCTGGAAAACATTCATCACAGTGCCTTTCGAATCAGGCGAGTATGTGCGCGCACTCAATGTAGTACAGACCGTACTGGAGCCGTTGGTGCTACGACGAACCAAGGATATGAAGACGCCCGACGGAGAAGCCCTAGTGCCACTGCCATTGCGAACCATCGAGGTTGAGAAGATTGTGCTATCGAAAGATGAGCAAGATATTTATGATCATATCTATCTACGAGTTAGAGATACGTTCAGTGCTAACGCCGAAGCTGGAACGCTGTTGAAGTCGTACACCACCCTCTTCGCTCAGATTCTACGATTGCGACAATCATGCTGCCATCCCGTCCTTACCAAGAAAGCCAACATCGCAGCCGATGCGGAAGACGCAGCACTAGCATCTGACCTTGCAAATGGGCTTGCAGATGACATGGACCTCTCTGCTCTTATCGAACGCTTTACGGCCGAGGGCGACCAGGACGTCAACAAGTTTGGAGCTCACGTATTGAAGCAGATCCAGGACGAAGCAAAAGCTGAATGTCCAATCTGCTCAGAAGAGCCCATGATTGATCAGGCAGTGACTGGATGTTGGCATTCAGCTTGCAAAGAATGCCTACTAAACTACATCGCCCATCAACGCGACAAAGGCGAGCTACCACGCTGTTTTAATTGTCGCGAGCCTATAAACGCACGCGACATATTTGAAGTCGTCCGTCACGACCATATCGTAGAGGACGACACAAACCACGCCTTCCGCGCCACAGATGCAGCATCACCCCCATCAGCCACACAAACCCCTCGCATCAGCCTCCGCCGCATTGGCATCGCCGGCTCCGCCAAAACCCAAGCCCTGCTCGGCCATCTCAAAAAGACACGAAAGGAAGAGCCCAACGCAAAAACAGTAGTCTTCTCCCAATTCACCTCGTTCCTCGACCTCATCGAACCCGCGCTGACCCGCGACCACATCCCCTTTTTGCGCTTCGACGGTTCCATCTCGCAGAAAGTGCGTGCGCAGATTCTAACCGAGTTTACTACTTCTCCCAGACCATATGTCCTGTTGCTCAGTCTGAGAGCCGGTGGCGTAGGCCTCAATCTCACGTGTGCGAATAAGGTCTTCATGATGGATCCGTGGTGGAGCTTTGCAGTCGAGGCGCAGGCGATTGATCGTGTGCATCGCATGGGGCAGGAGAGGGAGGTCAAAGTCGTACGGTTCTGCGTCCAGGGCAGTATTGAAGAGAAGATGCTTCGAATACAGGAGAGGAAGAAGTTTATGTGAGTACTTGACTTGACGTTTTCTGCATTGTGATTGGAGCTAATAGGTGATTTAGTGCGAGTTCGCTGGGTATGATGTCGGATGAGGAGAAGAGGGTGCAGAGGATTGAGGATATCAAGGAGTTGTTGAGTTAGAATAAAGTGTTCATTCCGAGGTTACGTGGGTGTATGCTTTTTTTTCTGGACATCTTTATGACATACGCATGGATGGGTACAAGGTGAGGTGAGGGACGTTGAGCATGATGGATTAATTAGACTTTGGCATTTGCAATGGCGTTTATACCATTAGACTTCATTCATCGTTTATTTGTTTATAACAGATATATCATATCAGAAATTACACAGCATCACAATCCTATTATTACGATGCCGCATGCGTGCTATCTCTTACTACCGCCATCCTCGCTCCCTCACCCACGTGTAAAGTCCCTTCCATCCTTACTCTCACTCTCACCCCTCTTACCCATCCACATAGCTATTCTAACCCGCAATCAATCCATCAAACAAAGTAATCAAAGGCATGTGATCCAATGGTCAATACGCCCCAGCATTAGAACCGTGGTCTCCACGGGCCTGCAACGAGGGACGCTTCCCGTAGCCGGGCCGATTGGCCAGCTGTGGTTTGTAGTTGGGGAGATGCGAGTTCGATTCTCGCCGTGCCTAGTTAAGTTTTGTTTTTTGACATTTGGTTTTCTCGGGCTGGTTTTTTTGTGGTTCTAGAGGAAGCCGGTAGGGGAAAGGGTGGTAGGGGATGAGATGAGTGATGCGGGACAGGTGATAGGTGGGGTAGGGAGTGATAGAAGGGTACATCTTTCCAAACTGCCAGTAAGAAGAGGTGTAAGTGACATGTAAATACCAAAGTCAATCTCCACACGTCTTTCCACTCGTGACGAAAAACCACCTATACCAAAACAAATAAGGGTACTTTAACTTTACTTCGTTATAACTCTACCCCTACGTCTATGTTGCTCCTATGGCTTGAATATGTCATGCTATAGCTACATCTGGACACCACAGACCCCTTGTACCTTAAAACTATAGTCGCATAACTGCTTTTACGCCTCTTTTATAGCGCACCTTCTTTGCCTAGCTCAGACACGAGAGGAAGGTGGGGCGCCATGCCGAAAAAAGTTAGCCAATTTTAGAGGACTCAGCCTCACCTGCACCAGGCGACGAGCTTCAGTCTGATATATCTCTGCCAGAACTCAAAAGTATGCCCGAACTACTGCAGGATCTCGCATCTCACGATTCCAGCGACCCGTCACATCGATATGCTATCCACAATCCCCTTGGACCCTCGTTCTTCCAACTGACCCTCTCTTCCGCCAACAGAGCCGAGATCTTCGCAGAAGCCCTATCTGAAATCGACAAAAATCACAGCCGGACCTCTATCATTGTTGAGAATCTGCAGAAATGGAATCCCGAAGCCGCATCTCGATTTGGTCCACGTTCCACCTTGACCGTTCTGTCTACACCCTTCCGTCTCATCTACCCCAACTGCGACCTCCACTCCTTTGAAGAAACTGGGCTGTACGCAAGGCAATTTCTTGCTATTTCGTACTGTTGGCGCTCTCCAGAATATCTAGCAGAAGGCTATGAAGGCCACGATATCTGGCCTATCAAGAAATCCATCGTGGACGCTGTTTTGGCGGAGAAGGATCACCCAAGAGTAGGCATTTGGATGGATCAAATATGCATTGAACAGTCTTCAAACTTGGACAAGCAACTCTCTATCGCGGTTATGGATATCATCTACCGTTCGTGCATGCGAATGATTGTTTTGTTAGAGGACGTGCTTCTCACCGAGCAAGAGATCCAGCTCGTGCAAAAATACGACATCTCTCAGCGCCCCTACAATGGCGGCTGGAAGTTTGAGTCTAGCGAGATCAAAATTTTTGCAAGTTTCTACGAGAAAGTGAACACAGCGCGCTGGTGGAGCCGGGCGTGGTGTTTTCACGAAATGGGCGTGCATCGACCGTGGTCTGAGAGGCGCCAGACGGATCACCGATTCAATGCGACCTTCATCCTATGTGGGCCCAACGATACCACTTTGAAGATGAAGTGGACGAATATGATACTGCTCATGGGCCTCGCAATGCACGTGCTGCCCAATGCACAGCTCTGGTGGAAGGGACAGGCGACATTTTCTGGTATAATTGAGCCTGAAGATCAAGAGAAAGGGTGGAGCGGCAGTATCATGGCGCTTCATAATGCAATCAGCACAACGGGCTGTAGCGTCTTGCAGGATCGCATTAGTATTCTAATCAACCTGTGTGGACTGGGTCTGGCGTACAAAGGGCCGCCGTTGGACACTGAGGAGGAGCTACTATACTTGAGTAGTCTTCTCGCTTTGGCCGCCGGAGATCTACATCCCTTGAGCATGATGGACAGGCAGTCTATGATACTGAAGGGGAAGCCAACCTGGATATCGAAACACGAGGTGAATGATACGACGCTTCCTGGTTACAAAATTGGGACCATGGAAGGTATTCACCGAGTGGAAGAGGGGGAAATTGAGGTGGACATGCTTTTTCTCGATGCACCATGGAGATCACTCAAAGAAAAGGACCTCCGGCCTACGTACGAAATCTTCCCATACACTATAACAACCACACACCCCGCTAGCAAAAGACTGGAAGCAGAAGGTCGAGTAGCGTCTAATTATGCGTACTCAGACGCCGAATTCGACATACCCCGTCGCCGTTTCCTGGCGGGCTGCATCTTGAACGGAGCTATGTTTACCGGCAGATTATGGGAGCAGATAAAACGCGACGTCGTTGTTCCGAATTACAACGCCGGAAATAATAAGGACCTGTCATTCAATCCTGCATTTCGCAGCGCAGCAAAGGCCTTCTTAGCGCACTTGTTTCCTGTCTCGACGCTCTTGGGTATAGTGCAGCCTTTGCCTTCTATTCTGGACGACGCTACACTCTTCCTGACGTGGCTCACCGACCCGAGATCAATGTATTACATTGGACTTCACACCTTCCGTGTTCCGTGCACCATGCGTTGGGACTCGACATTCATCACATCGCTGACTATCAACGAGTATTTTCAAGACGGGTCAGATAGGGAGATACAGGTTGCTGTGCCGACGCATCTACTCAAGACGTCTTGTGTGCCGCTGCGAGTGTGGATTCTTCGGCCTGCAAAAGTCGATCAAGTGAAAGGGAAGTGGCGAATTGTTGGCAAGGCTTTGTTGCTTGGGGAGCCGGATTTGCTCACAGAAGCGACGGAGAGTGCGGGGAAGCCTGGGGCGAAGGTCATTCTGAGGGAGAGGACAGTTGTATGTGGGTGAAGAGAATAATTTCTTCTTCACTCGGAGTGGATTGAAGTTTTGAATTTTACTGATACCTAGGTATTTGTCAAAGGTGAGGAGCTACTTTTAATATTAGAACTATGGGAGAGAAAGGCTATATACGATAGAAGTCAAGGCGTTAGCCGCGGAGTTTACGTATGTAGGGATCTCACCACTGACACACACACCCCGCGTGAGGCTGAAGTGCTTGGAGTCTGAAGGACGTATGCTCATGCAATATGAAGTGGTGAAGATTAGTGTTCTGTTGTGGCCTGTAAACAGGTGGGGTGCATTGTGTATTGATGTGATGTATGATATGTTCTGATGTCTGAGAGGTCTGTGATCCAGGATTATATACATAGAGCAGTGGGCTGATTGATCGCTGAATCATCCACGTGACCATGCAAGGTACCTTGGGCTTACATTGCTTCTTGAGGTAGCATGAGTTGCACGTACTGAGGGCGTTTCTGGGCTCAAGGTTGTCGTTGGGTACGTCGCGCGTCGTGATTTGATCGAGCGATCTGGCTGAGGGAATTCGTGAGCAGTCTCCACCTGGTACTTGTGCTCAGAGGACATTCGCTGCGTGAGGTGCTATTGGGATCACTGCAGTCGATAGAAACTCTGGCCGACGTCTAGATAAAACACAATAGAGATGGCCAGCGGCCTTACTTGACGGAAAATCGTTTGTATTCAGATCGAAGAAACAAATATGTCTCAGAACACAGTCTTTACATGTACACAATGAAATATGTTTTGCCAATATGCATCAGTCCCAGATATTACCTGGAACCTCATAGTCCATAGCCTTCCAAACCGCACGGTAAGCTTTTTCATCTATCCATCGAAGCTTTTCCTCCATTTCCGAATGATCAAGATTCTGTTGTACCTCAGGCAGAAACTCTTCCGCCGGTTGGACCGCTGTCTTATCGCGAAAGTCTGCAATGCCCTTGCCCAGGGATGAGAAACTACCTAGGTAGGGGGAAGATTCCCTGACCAGCCCGCCTGGATGAATTCATCGAAATCCTTCGCAGCCTCATCAACAAGGCTCCTACCTCCTTTGAACATGTTGAGCGCTTCTTGTACTTCGACGCGGCTCTTGGCTTTCGCGATAAGGTCAATACCAGATGCTAAGAAATGTATGCATGTTGCCAGAGCAAACTGGTCTTCCACAACCTGCTTGGAGAAGCTTTCGTCGTCGCAATGTCTGAAGGACCCAAAATCGAATAACTGAAGTTGGTTGTGTCCATCAATCCTTATGTTGAGTACTTTTCAATCCCTAAGCATGTATCCGAGGTCTTTGAGCCATGCGGCAGCACCAAGAAGCTGTTTGATCCATGCACGGTGTGTTGCTGTATTGTGGAGGTCCCGGCCTTTTCTAATGACTTGTACTTCGGGAGAACAATACTAATGGGAAGTTTAGTGGGCAGCCTTTGTGCGAGGTTCGGGTGTCGGGTGTCGGTGGTTGGCAAGAACATCATAAAATGTGCTTTCTTTCTTAGAAATGGCCAAAACCCGGAGAGACATATGCATCTGCTTGATTTTGTCGTCCGTAGGTGGCGATTCAGCAACCGGATATTGAAAAGGAAGCTTCACCACAGCCCTATCTAATATCTCATAGACTATGTCCTGCAACGGCCCAATATTCAGGCATCTCGACCGCAGGAATGTGTAAGGGGTGAACCAGGTAAGTTGGGTAGGGTAAGTCGATGTCGCGAACGTAACCTTGTTGGTTCGCGGCTATAACTACTTGAGTTCAGCCACGTCACATGCCTTTCCTCAATCTATTATTGGAAAGCTATCAGCCACGTGCTAAATGCTGGACGTGGCTTAGGTCTCAAGTGATTTATTACGCGAGACGTTAGAAATGACCCAGCTCGTAGCGCTTAATTGGAAAGTACCGACTGGGGTGGAGACATTACATGAACCATACTCGTATTGCCGCCATAGGGCTGAGGGTGACTTATCAGCGTGTTGGTACAGCTAGAGGGTTAGATACTGCAATTTTATGATTATTGTAAGTCGCATGGGCAAAGTGGTGGATCTGTAGTAGAGGAGTCCTGCTACATCGTGGAATGAGGACCTATGCGAGAAGGCACGAAGGCGACAACGACCTTATGATTTTCTAGTATTAAGCCATCGAGCGACAGAGGAGAACCTTTCGTACACGATCCAAGTGATGCGACATGAGAATTTAGACTTGGGAAGAAGTTTTCTGCTCTGAAGTCGATGTACCTGTGGTTTTTCTCGACATGAGGTGGTTCTCGTTACGTAGTGGGGGATAATTAGAAATCCATATCTTCCAAATCATTGAACTTGGAGAAGGAGTTTTGGTTAGAACTCGTACAGTCTATCTGCCTGGGCAGTGTTGCTCAGAGTGAAAAAGACGACTAAGTACTTTGTTAGCGAACTAGACTGGGGAAAGATAGACTAGGGCGATGTTCCGGTCATCTCGTGCTTTTCCAGTGATAGTTTCAGTATCCGTGGAGGGCTGTCGGATAAACGTCGGAGAGTTGGTTTGCCCGGGCAGTGTTGCTTGGGGTGAGAGTGTAAGGATGTGATTTAGCGCCCACGCCTATTTGTGATCGACATATTTCTCGTACTCGGTCACTTTAGGTAAGGCTTGGCTGGATGTGTTTGTCCTCTAGGTCTGGGTGGATGTGTATGCCTTCTCCTGGTATAGCGTTTAGTAGTAAAGCTACTTACTCCTCCGGAGTGTTCATATAGATCATGGTATTTTTGTGTGCCGACTGTCAACGTCGTTTGTAGAATTCTTTAAGCTGGCGGAAGCTTATTTTTTTGTCTACCTTTTTTTGTATCTTGTTTGAAAAAACATCATGGCAGATAACTAGAAAACATAGATCACGGTATATCACAATTTCGGGACCTTTCAGGATAGTGTTAACAATAACTAAGTAAATTCTGATTAAATATAATGGTACGAAACATATGTTGCAAGGTTGCCTGCGCGTTGTCTTATGAGGAAGCCGTCTGCACTTTCCTCACTGCTCCCTAGACACCTTCGCCCAAAGTTCCATATCATTGAGCCAGTAAAACTGGTTCCGATGCATCCAGCGCTTCCCAAAAACATCGTCTCCGAACTCGTCCTCCAGCCCGTGGTCTTCAAACCCACTATCTATCTTCTCATACCGCTGGCTCAAGAAACGCGCGACATGAGGTGCTCCACGTTCTTGCAGCGAATACGACGCTTTTGCCGGATCAACATTCATCTTATCCCCAATAATCATCGCTGGCCCTGCTTCAGACTCCCCTTTGAACAAATTCGCGATGATTTGCACCAAAGGCACCTGAATGGAGAGATATACAGATGCCACAATCATGCCTGCATCAATAGCTAGCAGACCATCTGGATCAGAAACGAAGACCAGGTCTTCCTTTTTCCCCGGCCAGAGTCGCTGGAGTAGCAGATGATCCCTAATCTCGTAATTAGGATCCTGGAGCAGAAGCTTGATACCAGCGCGCGATGCATCTGTCTTCTTGTACTCATCTTGTAGGGCAGCGATGATGGTAAACATGGCCATGTGTTGTATACTGGATCGGTAGAAAGCTTTGTCCAAGTTGATTGCGCCGAGACCGAAACAGATGACTTTCGTGATTGGGGCGTGGGTTTTTGCGAGCGAGGCGAAGAGGTCTCGCAGGCGGAGGCGCGCATGGCTGATGACCCAGAAGTCCTTGGTGTGGCGGAGGGCCTGCCAGTACGTCTCCATTGCCTCTCAGGAGCAGTGGTCGTTGTTGAAGAGGCGTTGGTACGTGGCGATGGCGTAGGGAAAGGTGAAGTGCTCTTCCTCGTTGGCATATTTGCTGCTTTCTGACCGGTTGTAGCGGCGCATAAGGCAGATTTGCCTGGTTTGTGAGCCGTATAGTCGCTGGAAACCTGGGTACAGTTCTACGGGTGCGAAGTAATGAACTTGTATGCTGTTGTCACATGTCTTTCCGCAAGAGTCCCAGATCTTAGGCTGCTTGCCCTTCGGACCTGGTGCGTAGATCTTTTTGAGAGTGCGCTGGATAGGAGGAATCAAAAATTCTTGGTTGATATGGTTAACGTGTGTCTTCAAGGCTTCGAGGAGGGAGCGAGTATATACCGGGGCATTGTTAACGGCGTCTTCTTGGGAAACGAGGTCAACGCTGTAGGAAACGGCGCGTTCAAATTCCTCGTCATCAGAATCTTCGGATTCCTCACTATTAGAAGGATAGTAGTCGTTCTCTAGCTCTGAGAGTTGATTCTGTGTCTCGAGTTCAAGGCCTTGGAGGCTTGTGACTGCTTCATCAGTCAAGTCAACTGAAGCGTGGGCTGAATTTTCCCTGGTTGATTGAGGGGAGGACATTTTCTGGATAGGCTGGTTGGTTCCCGGTTAATTTATAATTTAGAAAGGGGAAAATACTCCTCCGTATATAAATGTTCTTGCTGCGCTAGATAGTGTTCTCTGATAGCGAGAAATGCCTTCTGCATAATGCACAACGCATTGTTAGAGCAGCGGGAAGCGCAGGTTGTCTGCATTGTGAAGATATAGAGGTCTGGACAGTGCTGTAAGGGGAAATGTGATATAGGTGATTTGGAAGTGGCAGGTAGAGTGATGTACTGTAACAGTGTGAGGAGTGTGTGTGTAGGGTAGGAAGGAGGGAGAAGAACAAGCGATATATATATTAGCTTTAACATTATGATCGTATCGGATCATCGTATGTTACATAACGATGAGTCCGACTCTCCACGTACTCATTACACTTGCACTAGATTTTCAAATTTCCAAGGCACACCATTGGCTCACAATGTTGCGTCCTGTGGCAGTGTTCTACCAGAACCATGGTATACTAAGTTGGAGGTAAAAAAGAAGTGGGTTTTTCGTGTAGTCGAGTTTCAACCATGGTTCAGATTGTACAATAGCCCTACCCTGAAACAACAAGAACGGGGTAGATTGAAGATGCCCAGTCATATTGAACCAAGGTTGAAGAATACAGAGACCTGGTATGGAACGATGCCATAACCAACCTTATAGGTTGGCAACTACCACGTTTGCTCCACTACAGTAAGTTGTTTCAGCCTAATCTTCGCAAACAGTATGAAACAAAATTTGATCTTGCGCTATTTACCAATATGGCAAAAGTTTTTCATTGTGCACAAATATTGGCAAGCCGCCTGACTGTTAGAGTCATAAGCTGCTCAAACGATGTCATGTTAGTAAATTTCAAGCGAATGATGATGAAAATGACCCAGATAGGGAATTACCAGACTTACAGAGACTGTGTATGAAGTATGGAACTGTAATCCCCACGTGGTAAGTAAATTGACCAGATTACGTAATCGACTGCTCCTTAGTTTGGTATGCCAAGGATGCGTACCGTGGCACTATGGAAGATGTAGATATGTCATTCGATATTGTACATGTCACAGAGTTTTTGTCCGGTGGCTCTGATGACATGTTGTTCCCGTTCTCGCTGCTCTGTCAAGAAAATAAGGTTTTCGTTACGATGCACGACGTCATTCTTCCAGACTGTCAACCATAGCATGGTTGCTTTTTAGCTGTCTGACGTGATATCAAGCTATAACTTGGTTTGACATGATGTATGCAGACGGCTGAAGCCGACGAGCGTGTAGCACGGCCGATGCTCTGCTCGAGTGCCGAAGACGTCGGATCGCATGTCGGAAGCTGCAAGCATGGGATCATGATGTCGTGGCGTCGTGGCTTTGCAGCTGCGCCATACATACTGGCTTAGACCGCGTTCATCTCGAATCGAATTTCGCAACGCGAATGCGAGCTCCACTTGGGCCGGCAAAGTCTCTCCAAGCTGCACACGGTAAGCCAACAAGGTCTAGTGTAGACTCACCCCTGCGCACAAACATCCTCCAGTCCACCAACGACAGCACCTCCCGTGTTCCTTCCCTTCGCATTCGCTTTGTGCCCTTCTTCGACGGCCTGAAACAACGTCCAAACAAAAGGTCCGTTGTGACGATAGCCTATCCGATCGGTCAACGCTGCAGCTCAGAGCCGTGGTTACTGGCCGGGCGAGCCCCAAATGCCGCGTCTCGGCCACAAAAAGTCCGTACCTGCTACCCCACCACCCATGCCCTCAACCCCGTCACACCACCACTTATGAACATACCACGCTCATAACTCGCGTCCACTTCACTCTGACCCGGCGCTGTTGTTACAGATCGAGGTTGGGCTGCAGACAGTGCAAAGCTCGCCACGTCAAGGTAGGCTACCGCTACTCGGCTATAACCAGAGAAGCACCACACCATCGTCGGCAACCAATACTGATATAGCCAGTGTGACGAGCTCAAACCATGCTCCAATTGTGCCCGTCATGGCGTTCCCTGTAGTCTTGTCACGTGGGATCTCAATACATCCCAGACTGCCGCTTCGGCATCTCCCGCGACCTCTGCCCAGCTGCGCACGAATCAGTCGCCAGTACAAGGATCGATGGGTGTAAGATCCACAATATGTCGTATGAGCGGCGTTGTGCTGACTGATGAGTGTAGGCCTCTTCAGGTCCTTCGCCTGAATCAGTTCCCTCCTCGGCTCGGCTCGACCATGCGCTCAATTCACCCAATCCAAACCATGGAGTGACCCAAACCACTGAATCAATCTCGCGCTCGGAAGAAGATGCCCCATCGCCGCCGGACTTGTATCCGTTCTTGTCCAAGTTCCTATACCGCACTGAAGTCACCCAGTCGGACTTGTGGTTGAAGGACTTGGAGCTCTTGTGAGTATGAGGATGCCTGAGCCCAATCGGACACCGCTCGCTAACCATTCCGAGGCACCATTGGATCATAGAAGCCCACTATACTTTATCTCCGCGAGATGACATAAAGCATGCGTGGAAAATCGTGGCTCCGAAGGAAGCCATCAAACACGCCTACCTAATGCATGAGATGTTAGCCTACGCTGCATTCCACAAGGCGCACCAACAACCCCGAGGCGAACGTCAAGAGTACTTTGAATTTGGTATCCATCACCAGGACAATGCTATTCGAGGCATCCGGGGAGAACTGCAACACATTACACCTGACGAGGCCCCGTCCATTGTGGCTGTCTCCATGCTACTGACGTTGACCGTCTTTGCCTCAATAGGCTTAGAGGCTGAGGTCAACCCCAGTCAAATCTCACACACTGCCATCGAAGGTGTCCTCAACTGTTTCAACCTTATACAAGGCATGGGAAACGTCCTTGCGTTAACATATGCGACAGTGATAGACTCATTCGTTGCACCGATGATGAGAGGCGCTTCGCAGCCTAACCCTTCGCAACCTATGCTACAAGAGTTAGTGAATCAAGTACCTACACTGGTCGCATTTATCCAGGAGAAAAGCGACCTTCCTGAGGATGAACGAAGGATATTGCTCGAGGCCATTGGTCATTTCGAACCGGTGCTACAAATGTCGATGCACGCTCTGGTGGATAATCGGGAACTACGGTTCTTGTATTGTTGGCCACTGCACTTGACCCCAGGATACACCAACATGGTGCGGCAAAGCCACTCAGGCGCACTGTCAATCCTGATGTATTACACGACCATGATTTACGCAGGAGAACCACGTTATTGGTTCCTGGAAGGATGGGGTAACCGATTGATGAAATCCTGCTACGAACTCATCGACCGGAGTTGGCTGCCTTGTTTGCAATGGCCCATGTCATTTCTTCCACCCGAAATGGCCTCCAACCTGAATTGGGACCTTCCACGACAATCGCCATTGAGAGCGCCTTGGACACGAGGGCCAACGATCAGTATACCCCATAGGCAGCCACAACCACCTGGATCCTCTACGTCTCGCGAAGGGAACTCAAGCTCTTCAAATTACGGATCGCCGGGAGATCATAAACCCTCTATTGGTACAAATGAGGCCTCAGCAAGCCGACGTCCGTCTGCCCAGAGCGACCAGACACAGATATGAAGATTTGGGCCCATATCATGAGGCAATCCAACCGGGAAAGGAAACCACAAAATCTGTGACCGATGCCACAGCGCCAACAATTGCCGCGTGGTCCATCACACACGAGCATGACGTTGGTATGCCTTGAACCTTTAGTGTGTCTAGCGGCAATAGGGCTCCGGGTAGGTCCGCACGGCGGCATTGCCGGCTAGGTACCCGCAGTCACCGCGGCTGTTCAAGCACATCACAACGGGCCATTTCGAGGCGACCAGCGATCGCAAATTCGCTTTATTGCGGCGCAATCGCAGTAATGCGTACTATCTTCCACCAATGTCACCATATGAGTCACGTCATTTCGAATCGCGTGGGAGGGCCCGGATACATATATGCGCTAATACGGGCTTGTAGTATATTGCGATGTTGTGGTCCGCGGAGCGCACGCCAAGAAGTCATTCTAAGCATACGTGCTCGTCTATATATTGTTTACAACCAAAAGAAGCTCCAAGCACGTGTGGACGTGCTCTCCACCTGCCGAACTTAAAGAGTGATCCTATCCAGAATTCTGTTCATCTCCATCCATCTCCTTCCACACAAGGCCCGATTGCTCATTCAACGCACTGGATCAACCTGACCATACCATCATTGCCACGTCAACGCTCATCACTCAGGGCTGATTCCCATTGTATCACGCCCAACCTGCACCCCCTACCTCGTGTGATGGCCCCCAAAAGACTGCGTGCCTTTACCATCCGCTTCCTTCGCCAGCTTCGCCACCTGTGCCGCACTCTGACATAAGTCACCTGCGGGGCATCTGCAGGGTATTTTAGCCAGCCGCTGAAATTGTTTGGAACAAAGGAAGTGCCGGCACGACTAGATTAACACAGGCCGGCGGCGCAAGGCGCGCAATACATTAAAAATGTGGGAGGCAAAGCCTTTGTTCGCTCAGCCTCGCGCATCGATGATGTAGGGGTAGTAGTCTAAGAATGAATACGAAAGATGGAGCTTTGACCGGTAATTTCTTGAGTAACCGACCCTTTGGTAGGGAAACTAGGCCTAGCCGATTATACATGGGGACGAATTTGCGACTACTCAGGTCGGCGATGTAATAATAGCGTGTACACGGTTACCTACCTACGCTAGGACATCACTTGGTACGAGCAGGTAAACCCATCAAAGCCCATGCATCTAGAATCCCATCTCCACACAAGTAGCACGGTAGTCGTATTTCTCGGCACAACTTCCAATCCCAGTGTCCTCATCCCTGGGGAGCTTTGGCGCTTCTCCTTTCTTCCTCGTGTTGCGCGTGCATGGCGCGTTTTATTATGGATACGCAGCGTCGATCTTGGGATGGGTATGAAGCCCTCCTACAGCCCACGAGCCAGAGCGGGTCCTCGATACCGCGCGTAGCCGCTGCACGACCTCGACCCTCACGATGCGTAGGCGCGAAAGGGATCTACATGCCTACAGCCCAAGAAATGCCGGTGTATAGGTAGTGCACCTGCAGCGCGGAAGCTAGAGGATCCGTTCTCGGGACTTTGCGCGGGAATACAATGTGTGTATGTATGTTGTGGGAAGGTGTGGCTGCAGATGCAGTGTCATGCTTGGGGTGGATGCTGTTTGGAAGCTTCTATGACTATGCGCGAACTACACGAGAATGTTTGCATGTCGTGACACGGTACTACAGTCGGGTGACAAAAAGAAAGAGACTTTTTAAAAGTTAACTTTTTCTAAGCTCTATATCTAAAGAACTAGACTACCTAGACTAATACATCTTGATTTTTTAGAAAGTTAAGAACCTTCTCGTTAGGTAAGGTTACTATAAGATATACTTAGTAGGCAAAATAAAGCTAATCTAAGGCAGTAAAAGTAGAGTTCAAAAAGAGCTAGAAGAGAGTTAGGTATAACTTTTTACTGAGCGTATGAAAATTTCTAAAAAAAGTTCCTAAGATACTAGCTTATATAAGCATTACATAAGCAAATCTCTTTCTAAACTTTCTTATCTAGTTAATTTTAAAAACGAAGAATAAAGAAAAGTACGCTAAAAAAGTACGCTAGAATTACGTAATAATCTACTAGTGTTATTCTATATATCTTTCTCTTTCTACTTCCAAATTTTCTCATCTCTATTATCTCTCTATGTCTCGAGAGCTTTCTAAATTCGAAAAAGAAGTTTATACTCTATCTTTGCAAAAAAAATCTACTAGTACTATTAGTACTATACTAGAAAAGCCTTATAAGTCTATTTATAATACTTTACAACGTATTAAGAGGAAGAAAAGTCCTATTCTACCTCTTTCTACGCCTAAACTAGGCCGCCCTACTAAGGTCTCTAAACGAACTACTCGAGTAGTTAATAGAGACCTAGAAAGAAGTCCTAAGAAGACAAATAGGCGTATTCTAGTAGAGAATAATCTAGATTTCTCTACTAGAAGCCTACAACGCTTATTGAAAGCAGAGAAATACTCAAAATCTCTAGCTAGAAAGAAGCAGCTTTTAAACGCAGAAAAAGCTACTAACCGCAAGAATTACGCTAAGAAGACACTTAAAATTCTTAAAAATATAAACTTTAGCAAAGTTATATTTTCTGACGAGTCTTCTATACAGCGTGGGTATGGTGCTAGGCAAGAATACGTTAGAAAGAGAAGAAATAAGCGACTTGGAAAGGAACAGGTCCAAACAACCAACTCAAGTGAGTTTAAAAAATATCTAAATAAGCTAAAATATTCTTTGAAAAATCTAGTATTTTTCTAGGAGTTTAGTACATTTTTATCTAGCTTACTAACAGAGATATAGCCCGCGATATCTCGATAGGTGTTTGGGGAGCTATCTGGATAGGTGGAAGATCTAAGTTACACATAACTAGATCTCTACAGGACTCTAGAACATTTACAAATACACGTTATATACGAGAAGTACTTGTACCTATTGTTAAACCTCTATTTAAAAGAGGTAAGTAAGAAGTGTTGACACGGCAAAGGTGTCGAATACTAGCAGTCGTTGCAACGAACAAAGTGTATAGTATTTGATTAGTAGTGAGCAAGAGCTGGATGGAGAGATCTCCATATGTACGGTTGCGAGCTAAGCGGGAAGCTTGGTCTAACTAGTGGTCCAAGCTTCCGGCCCGGAAAAACTCGCCGGGCTGGCTGTACGCGCATGTTCCGACAAGAAGTCTTTCTTTCTTACTTTAAAAGACTAACATGATCCATGGGCGAGCGGCGCACACGGGCGAGCGGCGCACCCCACCAACTTTTGCAACTTTAAAGCGATGCATCTCAACAACGCGATAATATTATTGCTAGATATTGATACAGTAGATTACTCTATATTAATAGTATCAGTCTTGCATGTGCGCGAGTTGTGCCCAGTCTCCTTGCACCTAGTGCAGCGCCTTTGAGCCCGCTGGCTGAGGCCTGATCGCGCTCCTCCTTGACGCTCTTCATGAGCAATCTGCTGGTCAGCCTCATTTTGAGCCAGTATATCCTCTCCAGCTCCCTTTGTGAGTACTCCATGCTTCTGTATACGCCTTTTAGAGCGCCGCCTACGCTCTGAGGCTGCGCTATTGGCCTTCTCAAGACTAGAGATCCGATCGCGCATCAGCTCAGCAGAGAGCATCATCACCTCGGCGCCCTTCTTTAGCTGGTCAATCGCCATAATAATTGAAGCTGGTGATGAGCTCTTGTGCTGGCGCACGCGCTCACGTATTAGGCTTGACTGAGCCTCAAGCTCACGCGCGTTGCTCGGCGTTTGAGCTACCCAGGGAGCCTCTGGCAGAGCTGCTGGAGGAGTAGGTGTACGCAGTTGTACATCTACCTTTGATAGAACAGCCTCTGGTTGTAGAGGAACAAGGCCTGCGCCGCGGAAGGCTGAGCAGATATTGGCTGGCGTGAACGCTTGATCAAATGCTGCCTTGAACGCTGGCAGAAACTCTAGCTTGGTGATGTGGTTGATGTGGTTGCGCATAAGGCTCTCCACCTCACGGCTGTACGCGCGCTTCAATGGCGAGAAGCAGCCAACATCAAGTGGCTGGAGTAGGTGAGATGAGTGAGGAGGCATACAGAGCGTATGGATATTGTTCTCCTTGCAGAGCTCCTGGAACTCTAGAGATTGGTGGCTCTTATGGCCATCAATAATAAGCAGGCGACGCGCGCCTACACTACGAGCCTGCGTGTGAGCGTTGAAGTGCTTTAGCCACTCAACTCCAAGCTCATTATTCGTCCAGCCATTATCGCTGACTGCGATCGCCCAGTCGCGTGGGATCTCAGCTTCCTTATACCAGGCTGATAGGTGGTACTGGCCAGCGAAGATGAGGAACGGTGGGACTGACCAGCCAGCAGCGCTGATAGCAGCGATCAGCGTTACCCACTCGCGATTGCCTGGCTGAATACTCTTCGGCCTGCCTCTCCTCTCTGCTCCTGTTATAACTAGCTGCGTTGTAATCTTGCCCATCATAAAGCCAGCTTCATCAAAGTTGTAGACGTCCTCATCGCAGATACCTAGCTCAGCCTTTGTCTCTTCTACAAGCTTAAACCACCTCTTTATTAATGTTGCATCCTCACAAAGAGCTCTCTGCCTATCGTACGCTTGGTTGAAACACGTCCGAAGACTGTCTGTACGCTTAACAAAGGTAGATGGCCAGTTGACTCCAACCTGCTCTCCACCACGCGCAGCCAGCAGCTTATCAGCCATATCACGTACAGCTGTGTAGGTAGGCGCAAATCCACGCAGATCTAGCTGAAGTATATAGCTAATAATCACCTCCTCTTCTCTCTGGGTAAGCTTCCTTGAGTTGGGCGGGCAATCGCGTCGGGCAGGTATACCAGCGCGTCGGCGGCGGAGCGTTGTTTCGGCTACGTTGTAGACTACTGCAGCAGTACGGGTACCTTGGATCTGGTGCGCATTAATAGATGAGATAGCAAGCTGAATATCTGCTTCATTTGATAGTAATTGAGTAGCGCTGCGTTGAGCCATTGTAGATTAAGATCAGTAAGGTGAGTAAAGTTGGTGGGGTGCGCCGCTCGCCCGTGTGCGCCGCTCGCCCATGGATCATGTTATATCTTTTGAATTTCTTGATACTTTTTAAATTTTTCTTTTTATTCTTAAATTTAATAATTAATTCTATTTAGGTTGGAAATTTCAGCAGGATAACGCCAAGATCCATAAAACGCCAGCAGTTATCTCTTGGTTCTCCAGGAATAAAGTTCCTCTTTTCGAGCATCCGGCCTATAGCCCAGATCTAAATCCTATAGAAAACGTTTGGAGCTTACTTAAGAATAAGCTAGCAAAAAGGCCTAGTGCCTCTTTAGGCATAGGTAAGAGTACTAAGGCAGTAGAATTGTTTAAACAAGCAATTCTTGTTGGAGTGGGTGAACCGTACGCATAGGGAAGAAGTTGAGGATTGACTGAGGTTGTATTGTACAAGCTATGGAAAGTTTATGTAGGTGAGTGACCATAAACAGCGCTAGTCTCAGATAGGCATCGTCCCATCACCAAACCGTGACACACCCCCCAGTTGTCACCAAGTCAGTGAGTTGGTGATAACTGACCTGTATCCAGTAGATGAACCACGAATGATGTACCACCACTAGGTGGTTGGCCGTCATCTACCTGAATCTTGTCTCTATACTGTTGACGTGAAGCCCATTCATTTAGGGCGTCCTTTATTTGCTTCGAAATCTTAGGATCCTTTTGAGCTTGTTCAACCTTGCGGACTCCAATAGGTGCTGGTGTCCAGTCTTTTGGTCGACCTGGGTGAAGTGGATTGAGTATCCAGCAGTCGGGTAAAGCGTGTGACAACCCACAAACACAAGGTAGGTTTGCAATCCCAAGCTTAGCAGCTGAGGTAGATAGCACACTTGACTCAGTGGCAGTGGTCTGGGCAGCTCGGCGGATGTACTTCGTCATCTTTTCGACGTAGGCGGGCAAGCTGAGTAGATTTGTACCGTTTATCTCGTGTTCGTATATCTGATCGAGGCAGGTAGTAGCGTAGTTTGGATAGTGAGCTTGGCAGGCAATCAAGAAATCCTCCTGAGGCCTGTAGCTAGTTGTCTCTGGTAGGTTGATCGATTGGCATTGAGAAGTGATGTGTATCCAGTCAGCCATCCATTCATCGAGTTTCTTTAGGTTGCGTGGAGCGGTCTTCAGATTGGTGTATCTTGCTATTAAGTCGCGACTCCGATCGGCTGTAGAAGGACAGAATTGCTTCTTGAGAGCGACAAGTCGATCGTACACAGTAGGGAGATCCTGTATTAGGTAGAGATGACGCGTGGCGATAGACCTAGTGATCTCTGTATTTAGCTGCACCAGAGCTCTCTCTTGTTTCTGCAGCGTGATCTCGTCGAGTCTCCATTGTTCAACCTCCCATCGGTAGGAATCACGATCCTCAGTGGATAGATCAGAGAGCTTAGAAGCTCTAGCCTTATAGTCGGTGAGCTGAGGCTTAGGATTGGCAGCCTCTAGGTCAGGCAGGCTCTCCTTTGGTGTATCTGGATTGACGTATTGCCAGATCTTGTGATCCTTCGCGAAGTCTCTGCAGAGAAAGATCCAGTTGAACCAGTCATCTGGTGTATTAAGGATAACAGTAACTCGAGTTACTGCTGATCCTGTAGCCATTGTGTGCGTAGAACAGACGTAGCAATCGTGCGTTATAGTGGACGCGGGGTAATCGAGCGCTGTGGTGGACGCGGGGTAATCGTGCGGCTATGAGGGGCCTAGTAATCGTGCGCTATGAGGGACGCGGTAATCGTGCGGCTATGAGGGGCCTAGTAATCGTGCGCTATGAGGGACGCGGTAATCGGGAAATGAGTACAATCAGGATGCAGCCGGGCTCATAACTGTTGGAGTGGGTGAACCGTACGCATAGGGAAGAAGTTGAGGATTGACTGAGGTTGTATTGTACAAGCTATGGAAAGTTTATGTAGGTGAGTGACCATAAACAGCGCTAGTCTCAGATAGGCATCGTCCCATCACCAAACCGTGACAATTCTAGAAGAGTGGGAGCAATTACCGCAAGAGGTAATAGATAACTGTATTAGGTCTTTACCTAGGCGTTATCTAGCAGTAAAAGCAGCTAGAGGTTGGTATACTAAGTACTAGTAACTAGCTTTGGCTATTATTATTATTATTATATTTCCATTAGAGTCCTGTATCAGTCGGTGACTATGTAGGACTTTGGCTAAGCCGTTCTATGTATGTTGTTCAATATGGAGTTTCTATAGGTCTTGTACAATTTGGAGGATAGTTGCGTAGTCCAATTTCCGAGCTAGTCTTCCATTGGCGCGGGTGCTAAAGAGCAGTGTGGTGAACAGAAAGAGATGTAACAGCGAGCTCTTTGCGAAAAGAAATATTGTTTGTAGTTTTATACAGTGTCTGTCTGTTGTTTTGTGTAGGCGTCTGTATATAGGGATCTACAAGAGAGAGAATAGATCTATACAGCTATTGCCTGGTCGATGTTTTGCTCGTGCGTGTGCTAGTGAAAGCAGGTGCTGGAGCGGTTCGGTATATGGGGTCGGTATATCGAGTCGGTTTAGGGCGTTCGGTAGAGAGGGTATTTGGTGTAGGCGTCTGTATATAGGGATCTACAAGACAGAATAGATCTATACAGCTATTACCTAGTCGATGTTTTGGGCGTTTTGGTGTAGGCGTCTGTATACAGGAATCTATTATAACCTAACAATAATAGACCTATACAGCTATTGCCTAGTCGATGTTTTGCTCGTGCGTGTGCTAGTGAAAGCAGGTGCTAGAGCGGTTCGGTATATGGGGTCGGTATATCGAGTCGGTTTAGGTCGTTCGGTGGAGAGGGCTTTTGGTGTAGGCGTCTTGTATATAGGGGATCTACAAGAGAGATAATAGATC